CAATGATCTGCAACATTACTGCGTAATGAGTTCTGTTAACTTCTCTGTACCTTTCCCGGGCGGAAGAACACCCTGGTCAATCCAAACTTGAAGTCATTGTCATTTAGTCCCAGAGCTTTGAACAAAGCCTACAAAAATACAAATACACATTCAGTGACATAATAATATTGTATAAGTGGTAAGAACGTGGGGCACTAAACTGTTGATGGGTCAGTGTAGCTATAGACTTTTTCTTACACAACTAATTGGGCTTTACTTTAACAGATTACACGTTTGTCTTTCTCCAGTGAAGCAGAAACATATGAGTTTACATAATCCCACCTTGCAGAAAAGTCGTGGATTCAAGCGTGTGAGCTTGTCAGGCATGTACTGTTTATACATGTTGTAGAGCTCATGGAAGGGGGCTCTGGAGGGGAAACCCCCCTGCATCAGGTCCAACACTGACACCATGCCTGATCAAGACAAACACACAAAGAAAACAGTGGTCTATTGAAGAGAAACTGAAACCGTGGAGTAACAATACAAGCTCAAAGGTAACCAGCCTATCAAAGGAACACTATGAGCCTTAATGCAACCAAGCTCAAACCTGCAACATACATTATTCTCTTAGTACCTCATCAGTGTCTGATGTGTGTTTGTGTGTGCACGCAAGTGTGAATGCAATGCATGAAAGAACAATGTTGCTTTAATGCAATCACAAAGGCGTTGGCAGGGTCATATTAACTTCTGCATCAATCACAGTAGCAGTATGTAGTGACGTCAGAACACACAATTTAGCACCATTTTATGCTGTTTTTTTTTAAAGCAACATGAAGAATGAACAACGTGCCCCAAAGTGAAGGTGCAACATTTACAAAACCCCCATAATTAATCTAACGTGACAAGGAAACCATCTATAAACTTGACAGTGTCAAACAAGGACAAACTGCACTGAAATACATTACCACATACAAAGTCAGATGCCTCCAAAGGTTTTTCCAGTCACCACAGTTTAACATAATTCAACCTTTGTGGGAGGAAATGTAAATTTATATAACCTGCATTCTCTAAAGAAACTGAGGCTTTCCTTTTAAAAGAAAGGTCCAATATAGTTCAAACTCTGAGGTTCTTGAGTATGTCATATCCACATTAGAAATATATCATGTTGCAGTCTTCGTAGTTGAAACACATCTCTCTGTGGTTTTGCCTCTTTGTGGTTGTGCCTTTTTGTGTGTCTTTGTAGATGTTATGCATCGCTTTTAGGTCATTTTCAGTCTCTCTGTGGTCACTTCGTGTCTCTTTTTTAGTTATTTTATGTCTCTTTGTGGTTGTTTTGCCACTTTCTGTAGTCGTTGTGTGTCTCTTTGTGTTTCTTTGCAGCTGTTTTGCATCTTTTCGTAGTCATGTTAGATCTCTTTGTTGTTGCTTTAAGTCTCTTTGTAGTCATTTTGTCTTTTTGAGTTTTTTTTGCCCCTTTCCGTAGTCATGGTGCATGTCTTTGTGTCTCGTTGCAGCTGTTTTGCATCTCTCTGAAGTCTTTTTCTGTCTATTGGTAGTCATTTATGTCGTTTTGTGGTTGCTTTGCCACTTTTCATAGTCACTGTGCATCTCTTTGTAGTCATTTTGGATCTCTCTGTAGCTGCTTTATGTCTCTTAGTAGTCATTTTATCTGTCTTTGTGGTTGTTTTGCCCCTTTCTGTAGTCATTGTGCATCTCTTCTTGTCTCTTCGCACCTGTTTTGCATCTCTTCATAGTCATTTTATGTCTCTTTGTGGTTGTTTGGCCCCTTTCTGTAGTCATTGTGCATCTCTTCTTGTCTCTTCGCACCTGTTTTGCATCTCTTCGTACTCATTTTATGTCTCTTTGTGGTTATTTGGCCCCTTTCTGTAGTCATTGTGTGTCTCTTTGTGTCTCTTTGCAGCTGTTTGCATCTCTTTGTTGTCATTTTGGATCTCTCTGTAGTTGCTTTAGGTCTCTTTGTAGTCATTTGATATCCCTTTGTGGTTGTTTTGCCCCTTTCTGTAGTCATTGTGCATCTTTTCTGTCTCATCGCATCTGTTTTGCATCTCTTTGTAGTCATTTTATGTCTCTTTGTGGTTGTTTTGCACCTTTCTGTAGTCATTGTGCATCTCTTGTTGTCTCTTCGTACCTGTTTTGTATCTCTTTGTAGTCATTTTGTGTGTCTTTTTGGTAATTTTATGTCTGTTTACAGCTGTTTTGCATCTTTTTGTAGTAATTTGTGTCTCTCTGTGGTCCTTTGCATTACTTTGAGTGACATTTTGCAGGTGAAGCCGAGGGGGACACTTTGAGCCCCTTGGCTTTCGCCCGGTGGACCTATCCATTAATCCATCAATGATTCAATGAATACACTTTAAGTGGGGTGACCCTGAATTGCTTCACTTACAATAGAGCTACTAAGATATCCTTAGTATATTCACTGATCCGAAAGATTATAAATATAACAACTCCTGCTCTAAAATGTCACAGTACATTCTGTACACACTGTCCTTGGTCCTACCTGAGCACTGCAGCTGTGAGAGAATCAAAGCTCCTTCAAACTTGTGGCTGACCATCTTCAGGTTGGGTTTTACACAGCGGATGAAACTTGAGCCCTGTGCACACATAGATTAATAAGGACTGATTGATTCTGAGCAGTAAAGTATATACAATTAAACGGAGAGATAACTGACATATTACTCACTGTACTGCGGAGCTTTTCCAGCAGCAGGTTTAGCTGGGTCTGTGTGTGCAAGCAGACGAAATGAGATGGTTATTGGTTTATTTATAATGTTTAATGAAGGTAGCCCAGACAGTAATTTAAATGAGATAGTAGGGAAGGAAGCAACCAAAGTTAACAGTCATGAGGGAATGAAGGCAAAACAAGCCAAATTATTTGTATATCATCCTTCAACAATGAGGAAAAACAAAGTGCTTTATATAAAAGGCATTAGACTAAATAAAAAAGAAACATAAGGCAATATAGGAGGTAATATAAAAGACACATTCACAGGATATAAAGGATCCAAACAAAGTAAGATAGAAGATTACAATTTGATAGAATAGAATAAAGATTAAACAGCAAAATAAACATTACAGTGGAGCTACAGTGCAGTGTAAGACATTAATGAATGGTCCCAAAATAATTTAATAAAATGCAATGGCAAACAGTTAAGTCTTCTTCCCTAATTTAAAACAACTGAGAGTTGGAGCAGACCTCAAGTTTTCTGGGAGTTTGTTCCAGATATGTGGAGCAGAAAAACTAAATGCTGCTTTTTCTGTGTTTAGTTTTTACTCTGCAGACACTAAGCAGACCTGTCCCAGACGATCTGAATCAGCTGCAGCTGTCTGATCAGCGTTACAGTGGGTGACCCGACTGAGGATAAATGCATGGAAAAGTTTTTCTAAATCCTGCTGAGGCGTAAGTGCTTTAAGTCTTAATGTGTATGTTAAAAAACACAAATTTCTGGCCTGGTTTGTGTATTTAAACGTCCTGAATTTAAAATTAAGCTCAGCACTGACTTTTAAATCATTCATATTTGGCTTCAAAAACAATAACTTTAGTTCAGGACCACTTTAAGTCAAAGAAAACTCTATTTCCATTTACAGTATTATATTTGCTCTGTTTTGGGGCCTCTCTGCCTCTCCTCAGGCCTATGCAGAAAGCCTCTTCTACACTCCTCTCTGCCCTTCCATGCGCCTACATGGAAAGCCTAAGGCAGGGAGAGAGCAGCAGCAAAGACCTGAATGAGATTCGCCAATTGGTTGCATAGAAGGGAATCATGTGATCTATCATGGCACATCATCGTTTTGTTGCTTTTTATGCTGAATAGAAGTGGCCCAAGAGCAGAGCCTTGGGGGACTCCACATGCCATAAATCTGTTTGTTGTGTGTGTAATTATGATGAGATATTTTTTGTTTTTTTGGTTTTTCATGTTAAATAGGACGGAGCCTTGGGGTGCTCCACATGTAATTTTTGTGCACTCAGATACTGTATATAAATACAAATCAACACAAAATAGTGTCCTTCAAATAGGATTCCCACCAGTTTAGTTGTGTGCCACAAAGAGTGAAGCAGTTTTCCAGTCTGTCCAGTGATATGTTGTGATGAACTGTGTCGAATGCAGCACTGAGATCCAATACTAACAACATGCAAACTTTTTCACTGTCTGTGTTTATGTGGATGTTATTACAGACCTTAACAAGAGTCTTATATTTCACAGTACATTTTACAGACTACTTACTTTGACAGAATGTATCTATCCTAACATGTTTCCTGGTGAAGAAAATAAAGACCACATTTCCTCTCCATACAACACACTCTAGCTATTAGAGCCTTTTTGAATCACACACACATCATCTTTGTGCTTGAGTCTATATCCGGTGCATTAGTGATAAAAGCAAAGAAGCGACATTAATGGTAAAGAAACCTCAAATCTGAGGATGGAGTTGGATTTTTTTGGCTGTTGCTGGAGCATGAGACACAACTGAAAGGTGTGTGCTTCTGGCTCACTCAGCACAGTTTCGTGTGTGAGTGTTTCATTCTTTCTTACTCTTATTTTTTCACTCTCCTGGTTTCCTAACACCTCGCTTTTATACCTCAAGCTGACTTTATCCAGCTTTATCCACCAAGGAAGGTTTTCTCAGAGGAAAGAGGTGGGAGATGGAAGAAATCTAAGAGAGGGGAACCCTGAATACGAAGGAAGGACGGAAGGAGAGTGGAAAGGTTAAAAAGTTACACCAGAGGTCTAGGGATAACAGTTAGAAAAGTCTGAAAAGAAGCTGAAAAGATAAAGGAGTACCGTGAACTATCTTACACAATTGTACTCCTCTAAATCAGTAGGCAATACTAGACAGCAAATCAGTGTATCTAAAAAAGTACATCTACATAATTTTGCCTGGAAAACTGCATATCAAATTAAATTGTTGTATTTTGCCACATGTACAGCTGGCCAAAACCTATAAATATACTGTAAATATACTGTAATCTACATGTCTTTGACAATAAAAGACATTAACACAAAATACTGTAACATCTAAATGTTTGAATTTGGTGAAGTAATCCTTAGTATGAAAAAAACAACTGTATTTGCTCAAAATTACCTACTGAAATATAAACTGAAAAGTACAAATGAGCAGGTTTTATTTATTTCTATTTATGTTCAGTGATTAACAATGAAAAATGACCTTGAACTTGTTGCCAACGCTGATGAAGCTGAGTTTGCCCGCCTTCTGTTTGGAGTCCTTGTTGGTGATTGAGTTCTCAAACAGCTCTCGAACAAATTTGTCTTTCGATTCAGACACTAAGCTCTCCAGGGACATGTGGAGGGCATCGTTATTCTTCTCCACAAACCGAGTCTGTGGACAAAAACATGCAAACGCATACATTTATGTGAGGGGAGGCTTTCAGAGAGATGTACAAGATGCAAAAACGAATGGAGAAAGCCTAAATCCCTGCAGACTACATAACACATCACCAAAGCAACTTATTTAGTTTGTTTTTTTTATTTGTTGTTTTTCCTTTGCTGGTAAAATAACGTGACAGAAAAAGTGTGACATGTATACCTATATAGACAAAACATAATAAAGATAGAAGCAATGGACAGACATTGACAATAACATTAAGTATGATCATGTATATGTGATGATGTGATAAGAAACCAGGTGTAGAGCTTAGATTAGATTGGGCAAGGTGTGTGTGGATGTTTGGATGAGAGGCAGTGATAAGTATACAATACAGGCCAAAAGTTTGGACACACCTTCTCATTCAATGTGTTTTCTTTATTTTCATGACTATTTACATTGTAGATTCTCACTGAAGGCATCAAAACTATGAATGAACACATGTGGAGTTATGTACTTAACAAAAAAAGGTGAAATAACGGAAAACATGTTTTATATTCTAGTTTCTTCAAAATAGCCACCCTTTGCTCTGATTACTGCTTTGCACACTCTTGGCATTCTCTCCATGAGCTTCAAGAGGTAGTCACCTGAAATGGTTTCCACTTCACAGGTGTGCCTTATCAGGGTTAATTAGTGGAATTTCTTGCTTTATCAGTTGGGACCATCAGTTGTGTTGTGCAGAAGTCAGGTTAATACACATCCGACAGCCCTATTGGACAACTGTTAAAATTCATATTATGGCAAGAACCAATCAGCTAACTAAAGAAAAACGAGTGGCCATCATTACTTTAAGAAATGAAGGTCAGTCAGTCCGGAAAATTGCAAAAACTTTAAATGTGTCCCCAAGTGGAGTCGCAAAAACCATCAAGCGCTACAACGAAACTGGCACACATGAGGACCGACACAGGAAAGGAAGACCAAGAGTCACCTCTGCTTCTGAGGATAAGTTCACCCGAGTCACCAGCCTCAGAAATCGCAAGTTAACAGCAGCTCAGATCAGAGACCAGATGAATGCCACACAGAGTTCTAGCAGCAGACCCATCTCTAGAACAACTGTTAAGAGGAGACTGCGCGAATCAGGCCTTCATGGTCAAATAGCTGCTAGGAAACCACTGCTAAGGAGAGGCAACAAGCAGAAGAGATTTGTTTGGGCCAAGAAACACAAGGAATGGACATTAGACCAGTGGAAATCTGTGCTTTGGTCTGATGAGTCCAAATTTGAGATCTTTGGTTCCAACCGCCGTGTCTTTGTGAGACGCAGAAAAGGTGAACAGATGGATTCCACATGCCTGGTTCCCACTGTGAAGCATGGAGGAGGAGGTGTGATGGTGTGGGGGTGTTTTGCTGGTGACACTGTTGGGGATTTATTCAAAATTGAAGGCACACTGAACCAGCATGGCTACCACAGCATCCTGCAGCGACATGCCATCCCATCCGGTTTGCGTTTAGTTGGACGATCATTTATTTTTCAACAGGACAATGACCCCAAACACACCTCCAGGCTGTGTAAGGGCTATTTGACCAAGAAGGAGAGTGATGGAGTGCTGCGGCAGATGACCTGGCCTCCACAGTCACCGGACCTGAACCCAATCAAGATGGTTTGGGGTGAGCTGGACCGCAGAGTGAAGGCAAAGGGGCCAACAAGTGCTAAACACCTCTGGGAACTCCTTCAAGACTGTTGGAAAACCATTTCAGGTGACTACCTCTTGAAGCTCATGGAGAGAATGCCAAGAGTGTGCAAAGCAGTAATCAGAGCAAAGGGTGGCTATTTTGAAGAAACTAGAATATAAAACATGTTTTCAGTTATTTCACCTTTTTTTGTTAAGTACATAACTCCACATGTGTTCATTCATAGTTTTGATGCCTTCAGTGAGAATCTACAATGTAAATAGTCATGAAAATAAAGAAAACGCATTGAATGAGAAGGTGTGTCCAAACTTTTGGCCTGTACTGTATGTGTACTGTGACCCTGGATAGGTTGATGGGTGGAGCAGGGGTAGGCTATGGGTTGTGTGACAGAGAGAAAGAACAAGACGATAACAACACAATAAATGACAATAAATATATGGTGATGCAGCAATATCATTATAATAGACATATAATATTAATATACATCCATGTCTGCCTGAGCTCATATGTAGCCATGACAGTAAGTAGACAATGCCTCAAAAATGTGTCATGATCCTGAGTTTTGTTTATATTCTAATATCTCATGGACTTTGTTTTGGGGTTTTCTGTTTGTCTTCTTCCTTGTTTCATGTTATTCCTTCATGTTTAATCTGCTTCCTGTTTTATTTTGCAGATCCTCCCCTCATGTGTCATGTCTGGTTTTACTTCCTGCTTTTGTGTGTTTTCCCGCCTGTTTCTGTCACACCTCTTGTCCACCTGTCTCGTTAGTCCTTCCCTGTTCCCAGAGTCTTCCCTTCACACCTGTTCTGTATTAGTCTTGTTTGCTCCACCCTAGTGTTCTCCACCACACTTGTTGTTAGCCAATCTCCATTTCCCTTCTATTGCCCATGTCCTCCTACTCCAGCTGTGTCTCATTCCTGTGATTAGTTTTCTGTGTATATATACCTGTGTGTTTCCCTTTGTTCTTTGTCAGTTTGTCTGTGTTCATCCCTGTGTTCTTGATGTTGTTCCCTGCTCTGTTTCCTGCCTGGTGTCTTGTATTCTGTTGGCTTTCTTCCCTGAGTTCATTGTATTATCCTAGCTGGTTTTCAGTTAGGTTTTGGTTCATCTTTCTTTTGGACTTTCAGTTACCTGACTGTTTTTGGATCTTTTTTCATCAGTTTTATTAAAGCTCACTTCCTGTACTGATCCATGACAAAAATAGATGTTGCTGCAAAGAAGCTACATAGTCTTAAACATGGATGCTTCACACACATCTTCAGCACCACAGCACAGAAGATCTATACAATCAGCACAGTTTCAAGTTGGACACCGAGATGAGTGTCACCAATTCAGTCTCTGACCAAATGTCTCTTTTTTGCTCCTGAGTTATGACGTTGAATAATGGCCAGAAAATGATGATGTCACAGTAGAGATGACCTTTGACTTTTTGGATATAAAATGTCATCACGTCATCATTTTATTTCAATAGACATTTACGTGACATCTTGTCATAATTGGCGTATGAATTCTTGAGTTGTGGCCAAAAACATTAATCTGTTCATCGTTGAGTCCAGGTGGACGTTTGTGCCAAATTTGAACAAAATTCTCTCAACGCATTAATGACATTAATACCAGGGTATCAAACACATAAGAGCTTTAAGCTAGCTTTAGCTGCTAGTTACTCCACTGTGTTATGTAACTAATCAACATGTAGATGTGTGAATGTGAAAACTACCTGGCCCCAACATCCCTGTATACAGTAATAAGATCTTACTGTTTCATAGCAGACTGCTCCGGCAAAGTGCCTGATGATGAAGCCCTCGTCATCCCGCAGATTCCTGTGAATGGTCAACTTCGACTTCCTCGGAACCTAAGTGGAGAGAGGGAGAAAGCAAATCGAATGTAATGACAGTGCTAAAACACACACATATCGATTTCACTCTAATTCTATCCATCACCATCTCTACAGCAGAATCGTGTTTATCCACACCACTATTGAATGATGAGGGCCGGGTTGGAGAATGAAACATTAAAATCTATGAAGCACAGTGAAATAAAGCCAAAAAGACAGAAATTATGTAATAAATATGGGCGTATTCTCACAATCTCTGTACAAGGTAATTTGTGATTATTTAACATGTTTACTTGCAAGGAAATAATAGCGACTTTTTAAAGCTCCATTAATCTTATCTGGCTCAAGTATTATAAAGGACCCAAAAAAATCCATTACCAGAAACAATTCAGGATAAAGAAAAGCAGTGGTACCCAGCATTTTAAGCTCCATTAGCTTCATCAGTGAGGGGAACCATAATAAATTACCCTTAAAGTGTAAAAACTGTACAGCAGAAATGTTAGCTCATGGCATATGCAGGCACTTTAGATTAAGATTAATGTCTTTCACCCTATTAAATGTACAGAATAGTGCTTATTTGAGTAATAACTCTCCCCGCAGTATAGAGGGTGGCTGCAGCCAGCCAGCTGTAATCTTAAGCCTGAACTGGTGTCAAGGCTACATTTCTAAAAGGATTTCATGCTTGCACAGATACAGGCAGAGTGACGAACAATAGCGACAATGACAGAGACAGAAGGAGGGCTCGGGACTGTGCGTCATCCCCAAAAGTAAAAATGATCACAATGACTAAACCGGTGTGCGGTTACGTCACTGCCTCGTCTCACAAAAGAACTTTGTGCACAAAGAAAGAGAATAATAGCAGAATACTGGGGAGAAAGCAATAAGCAGGCGGCGAGAGAGAATAGGAGAGATAGTGGGAGACGAGAGAGGGTGGGAGAGCACGGCTAAGAGGTCTGACCGTCAGTCTGAAGTGGTCTTTATGCTTGCTGTGAACAGCCAGAGTAAAGTGCTGGTCGCTGGGCTGAGGGAGACGGTTCTCCTCATCCAAAATGTCCAGGACTCCCACAAGCTTTGCTTCCACGAGGTCTGCAAACACCAATTACACATGTATCAGCAACATCATTATGATTGATGTTTAAAAATTATTTCACTGCTGGAAAGATAGTCTTTACATAAGACTGGACTGTCTATGCAGTAGGAAGATGCAAATTCTTTTGAATTTGGTGCTACACAGCTAGAGAAAACAGAGAGAAGGGGCTGTGGTACTTGCTTTTGCACAAGATGTAAAAAACCTACAACTACCAGAATGCACTGCGCCACATTGGACCAATAAATACTCCAGCTGGTGGGTGATTTAATGCCAAGGCTATAAAATAAAGGCTGGGACACTGTGACTTCATGGGAGCTATGGGGTATGACACATGTGCCAAGTAACTGGAGCTAGCTGGCATTAGAAAAAAGGGGTGGTGTCCACTCAGGTGCTCTTTGGGTGCACTCGTTTTAGTCTCTTTGAGTGTGCTCAGTCTGACAAACATTTTTGGGTATGTGTAGATTTTCAGTGTTCAGAACATTTTCAAATAAAAAGCATTTGTTCATTGTCTTTGTTTAGACCTTTTCAGTAATTGCATAATTGTAGTTCTCACCCATATATTTAGCATAGTGTTAGTTCAGGCAGGACACGATGTCAAGCTCAACTCACACCAGCTGATCTCGAACAGCCAATCAACTGATGGAGCAGCTGATTGATGGAAGGGAGTCAGCTAATGGATCCCATGATTCCTTTCTATGCAACCAATTGGCAAATCTCATTCAGGGCGCCCTATTCAAACTGCTCTGGCCTGCCTACTGTTGCTGCTTCCTCTGCAAGCCACTTTGCAACCTCCCTCCACCCCAGCTCCTCCTTTTGCTGTGTCTGACTATCAGTGTCATATCTGTTTGTCATTGATGTTGGCTCTGTTCTGTTCCCGGGGGTCTTTGCTGCTGCTCTACCTGCCTTAGGCTTTCCATGTAGGCGCATGAAAGGGCAGGGAGGTTTGCTCTCTCTGCCTCAGGCTTTCCTTGTTTGCACGTGGAAGGGCAGAGCGGTGTGCTCTCTCCACCTTAGGCTGTCACCCAGCTATTGAGCCTTCCAGCAATTGGAGACTAAATTTTACTGCACATTGTGTTGTACCCTAAGGATACAACCATATGACATCGTGACTTCTCCTCTTTTTAACCCCTAATGCAAGCTTGTCCATTTGGACTTTTGCAATGTGTGTTTGAGAAAAAAGCAACACAGCAACAGAATCTTGGTTCATATCTGATCGGCACTGCTTAGTTTTATAGTTTGATCTCAGTATTTTCAGCCTCCATTTTTACAATACAGGAAACAGTATGGCACCCACTACCTGATCAAAGTTCTTGAATTACAGCCAAACAGTGCACTAAAATATGTTTCGGAAGGCATTTTAGGTGAGATATTGGCAATACGGGAACAGAATGTTGGTTTATATTGATCAGTGCTGCCTAGTTGTACAGTTTGATCTGTATTTGGTCTGCACTTCTATACTTTTTGTGTCCGTGGTGGCAGGTATACAGAAATGCCAAAGTAAAGTCTGTACTTCAAGCAACAGCCAAAGCAAGATAAGCAGGGAGATCTGTGTGCTGGTAAGATGGAGGGAAGTTTACAAAGTTTACATATCTGGTTGAAAACTGGCAAAGCATCTCTTTAAGTACAACTCAACTCAAATGTGCAGGGAAGCTCCAGTATGAAAATATCCAGTGCCTAAGATGTCACATGTTAGTTGCCAAAACCTGAAATAATTCCTCTTAACATGTCCACACTGTCAATATTTCCAAGCATCAGATGCTGACAGACATATTTAGTGACAACAACAAAATAGACAAATCCCTACGGAGGTATTTGGGAGGGGGTGAGGTGGGAACCACAGCGGCTATCATTATGCAGGAGTTATAAAAGCACTAAACATTCAGTTTATGACATTTATTGGAAATTTCCACTGTTTACTGTTTCTGGTTGTGAATATTCAAGGCACAAAACGTGTTCATCAGGATGCTCATTTAGCCATATATCTGAATTATTCATGCAGCATGCTGTTTGGAATATAATCTAATAGCCAAGGACCTCTGAAAAAAAAAAATCTGCATAAACAAGCACCTGTGCATAAAACCCGAAGATTGATGAGTGAATTAATGGCCAACCCAAACGGTCATTTGCAAGTCATAAATGTTATTCACGGCTGTCAGTTAACCTCGCACCTGAATAATCGCAGCCTTTGAAATACAAATCAAACTGCTTCACCTTGATACACTGACTACTTCATCCCATTAATTCGAGGATTCACTCGAGGACAGACACAACAAAAACAAGGGGGTGTTATTTCGCCAGGCTTCCCGTTGCACAAAAGAGGCCATAAAACCCACAAATACTCATTACGCCTGCTCCCTTCAGACACACGGATATGCCATCTCCTTGGATAATGAGAAGTCGGTATTTTTGTCCCCCTGACAGGTGTATTTTCGCTGCTCTGACGTGTAGCCCAGAGCACGAGGAATGGCCCAAATGAATGCCATGTGGGTGAGCTGATGTTGCACTTGAACCATCCTCAGTGCACTTGTGGTGTGTGGGCTAAACAGACAGCCACAGTTTGTGCTTGCAGAAGCCCTCAAAGGCCACACTTCATCTTAATGATGTCTCTGAGTGTCACTCGATGTACCTGTTTTCCCTTCCGAAGATCACCCAAGGTGCAGATACATGTAGGTATCAATACAAATACTCCCACATGTGTATACCATTGATATTAGTCATTTGAAACCAGCTCAAGACAGGTATCTTATCACTGAGATCATTTGAGTTAGTTTGAGTTTCTTAAGTTTTAGTTTAGTTTCCAACTTAGTTTATTACTTTTCACATTTAAAGGTTCGGTGTGTAAAGTTTAGGGGGATTAAGTCACATCTGGCAGTGAGGACTGCACATTGCAACCAGTTGAAACTTCCTCTGGTTGGAATTCCTTCAGTGTTCATTGTTTAGAAGGTTTGTGCCAGGAGTTAATTATCAACAGAGGTCTTTTTTTCTCCCAGAAAAATGGACCTGGTGATTCAAACTGGTAAAATCACTCAATTAACACAGTTTCATGTTATAAATCAGAGTATCTCCAACACTGAGCAGAGGAGCTGCTAACTACACTGTAATGGCGAAAAAGTGAATTGCCCTATTTAGAGCCAGCGTTTGGTTTGTCAGCTCTTGGCCACTGTAGAAACATGGCCGTGCAACATGGCGGACTCTGTGGACAAGGACCCACCCCCTAGGAAGATATAAACGGCTCATCATTCTAATGCGGTATTTATACTTTTGCACTAAATTGACGCCATACCCTACGTCATAGCCTGACGTGCACCACCCTGGAAATGTAGCTACATGTTGTGGCAACACAGACCTCCTGTCTATTATTGTTAGCTGAAACCATTTCCCTCAGTGGAAACGAAGTTTTTATTTACTTTAATGTCACAGATGATAAACAATACATTGTGAAGACAATAAAGCCTCCACAAAATAGCATTTTAAGTCTTGTGTGTGATTTATCCTGGCTTCATATGAGCAGAGGAAACTTCTGTTAGGCTAATTTATACAATGTAAAATGCCATAGGCTGGCGCTAATAACGTTAGCATGTTGTATTTGTTTTAGAAACGTGTAGTATAAGACAGTTGTTTTGTCGGTGAACCTTGTGAATTGTAATGGAGCCAAATTTTGTAATGTTGTCATTGTTACTGTTGTCCCTGGCTTCATATGAGTAGAAGAAAAGTCTGCTAGCCGCTAGGCTAATTTATACAATGTAAAATACCATAGACTTGTGCTAGTATTTGAGGGGAAAATGTGTCCAGATAAAGACAAGTGCTTTGTCTGTGAATGCTTCGAGTTATAGTGAAGCCAATTTATTTATCTGCGTTTGAAAAGTCATGTTTAATGTGTGTTTAATGTGTGTTTTGAATCAACTAAACTTTACAGCACTTCACAGAAACCCCACCACCGACAAGTGTTTTGGAGGTGTAACTGCAGAGTGACACAGACACACCACCACACAAGTGTAAATGCTCACAACTGTGTAGGCCACGTGCGTAGGCCGTGGCATCGGCTCTCTGCATAGAGCTGACGCACTAGTAAAAATCTGAGGTAACATAAACACAAAGACGCTTATTTTCAGGTGATTATAAACTAAGGAAAATATATTAATTATATAAAATTCCATTTCTGCCAGGTTATCCCCCAAAGTCCTACACACTGGGCCTTCACATAAAAAGATCTATACAAGGAAAAAAAAAAAAAAAAATCTAGTATAAAATATAAATGGGGTTGGGGTTGGTCTGCTTCCAATTAAGTAATACGAGTCTTCTGGCTAAAAGACTAATGTAAGCAATGCAATTTGACTGCACCTTCGAGAGATGATTGTCCACACACTGAATACCAAAATGTCTGTAAGAGGATTTAGATATATTGCTCCTCCAAGTGTCTTAGACAGTGCTTCAAAAATGGGGGACCAGTAAGCAGAGAGCCCCAGGCAAGACCAGAATGTATGAGCTCGTGTTGCAGGTGAATTTTAGATATTTTTTAAGTTTCAGAGAGGCAGTACATTTTTGAGAAGTGACTGCGCACACAGTGAAGTAGTAAAATTTTAAAGCTGCAGAGTCTGAGGATCAACAGGGTGCGAGGCGGGAAGTCGATATAAACTTACCTATACAGTCCTGGTTGTCAACATAATGCACCTCATTGACTCCCAGGCCTTCCCTTTGATACAGCTCTTGCTCCTGCACAGACATGACCAAATATCAAAACTGAAAACAGATTCTGAAAATGTCCTGATGTAAAATTAATTTACACCTTTCTGAGTGTCTTCACAGCATCAGCCAACTCAACAAAGCAAACAAAAAAACACCAAACTGGCAATACCCATTCAGATAATAAGAAAGAGGCTTAAACCAGAGATGTGACACATTAATTGGAGACCTTGGAAGGGAATAACGTTAAGAGATCACAGGAGAGAAGCACGCCTCATTGTGTCCCCTGAGAAATTAGCATTCTAATGAGAGGGCGCAGGAGAGACGGAGGACAAAACAAAAGTGAGAAAGCAGAGACGAGAAAGACAAGAGCGTGCCAACCGCTTCCTCCCAGCTTGTGAAGGAGTCGGCGAGTTCGGCTTGTGAGTGACACGACACGGCCGGTTTCCCAGGATAAAGGAGTAAAGCACACCAAATCACGTTAATCCGCACGCTGCTCACCCACCTCTTTGAGAATGCGCTCGTTGAAGAACTGCTGCAGCTTCTCGTTGCAGTAATTGATACAGAACTGCTCAAAGCTGTTGTGCTCAAAATATTCTAAGAGGGGAGACAAAACAGGGGAGGCAGAAAAGTCATATATTTCAATTAATTTTCCAAATTGAACATTTTTGCAAAGCCTGTGTTAATTATGCAGTCTGGGGAAATTAATTCTCAGGCAGGAGCCTTGGTAATGAAGTGTGTGTGTGTGTGTGTGTGTGTGTGTGTGTGTGTGTGCATTAGGGTACTTATATTAAGAAACATGCTGCAAAGACAAGTGTCTCTTTAGTGGCCTGAATGCTAAGCAAAATGAAAAAATGTGGGAAGTTATGTTGAGCTCAATCTACACGTTCTATTACAGCAAACACTAACTGCATTGTATTACCAAACCCAGCGATGTCCAACACCCCAATAAAGTTGGAGGAAGTCTCAAAGGGGAAGCACTGGTTCACTCGTTTGACCACATGATCGAAGAGCCGGCTGTACACCGCCTTGGCCAGGGCATCGCGGGCATTGTTTGCTTGTTCAACCTTTAGAGGCACCCTGGGGGGGACACACAAAGTGGGGCAGTGAGAAACAGTCCATAACTGGGACATGCTAGCCTCTTATTAAACCTCTCTTTTTTATTTTTTCCCCCCCAATCAACCCAATTTTCACACGGCAGCAAAAGTTTAGCCGTGTTGATGTGACACTTTTTGCCGCATAGTTTCCCTTTTTGATCTTTGCAGTGGAGGTAGGCGACCGTTTTCAAATGAGGGTTTCTGAGCCGGAGATGAGGTATTAAAACTAAAATGTGAACCTTGAACTCTTCTAGACTCTCTAATGGCGCTTTAACACAATATATTTTTAAATTATTTACAGGGGTTGACTGTAAGGACAAAGTGCAGCTCCACAGCGACCCAGAGTTCAGCTCACCTGTCCCTGCTGGGAAGGAGGTGAATTTAAAATGAAAAGGTCTGTCTCTTGCTATGATAGATCGTTACCCACTTTTTTATTTTGATATTCCACCCATCGAGTCCCCAGAAGAAAAAAGAAAAAACCCTCATCCATTACAAGCAGGAATAGCCCACCTATGTGAAGACCAAGGCAGCCATATTTTCTCCATTTCACTGTGACATGAGCTACATGCAGGAGTTTTAAAAAGCACATGAGATCCTTTCATTTCATCTCAATGACAGGCATTTTTATCCAATGTAGTGCTCCATATGCACGCTAGTTTGAGACTCAGTCACCCCCACCACCACCACCGCCGCCCCTCCTCTGTAACCCTCAACCTCCCGGGGGTATAGGGCGGATCTGTCTGGGGCTTAATGACAAAGCCAGGCCCCCTTCGCTCCACCTGCTCCCCAGACACCAGGCCTTTACTGTACTGCAGCCATGCTTGCCTGCCTCCTCAGATACAGGCTGCATTATTTATGTGGAGAAAACACTTCCAGGCCAGGCCAGCATCTGGCCCTCCTGAAATATTAATCTATCAAACCTGGCCCCATCACTCAAACGCCACATCATCACCAAAGTACACGGGGGCAGCGCCAATAACACTGTACCACATTCTCCTCTCAATCTGCGAGAAGTAACCACACGATCGTGTACAAGTGCAGTTTATCCAAGCAAAAAATCCCTCTACACTTGTGTCCCTTTTCCACTGGAGCTCACTGAGAGTGGTTTAGACAGACACAGAGGGCTCTTGCCTGCAAGGAATAATAAGATCTATTATACACTCTTTATGATAAGATCATAAAATAAAAGGCTTTATTGTGCAGGATAATGAGATTAAATCATGACACTGAATTGATACTTTGCAGGACAGCACCAATAAGCACAGCAACAACTGCTTCGCCACTGCCCATGTCGATTAAATTCTACTTGGTTAATCTCTCTCCAGGATTATTTGCTATTTTCAGACCTATGGTGGATTTACTGCCTTCACACACACAGTTCATCTGCCATTAACTCTGACAGCGACTTCTGGAAGAACTAAGAGGATCATTTTTTTGTTAACGGTATCAAAAGAAGTTGCAAAGAGCCGCAGATCTTTTAAGTGCTTTTGAAGCGTGCTGTTGTTCTTACTTGATAACTGTTCCTTTGGCGCCCCCTGCTGTCGTGAGCATGACCCTGGTTGTGAGGCTGACACGCAAATCATCCTGGTCCAGACCCAGCAGGTTAGCACAGTACTCCAGAGACTGGCCGGACTGATTCTTCAGGATACAACCGCCTGAAACACACAGCAACACCTTGAAGAATCATCCTACTACAATCTGTGGTTCTCTCTCAATACCCAGACAATGGAGACACAACTACAGTAAGATTCTTAGAACATAAGCAGAAGTGTGTCTTGGGTGGGAGAGCAAAGGGTGAAAGATTTTAGCTGTGAATGGGTGACATCAACAGCCTGATACAGAGCTGTTGGGTATAACGTACAGTATATGAATGAAGGAGAAACTTCTGAAAACTGCCCTCAAGAAAAGTTTCTAAGTACACTTATATTATCCCCAGAGACTTTGATTGTAGAGAGACAAAGAGAAGGAATGAGCCAGAAAAATAATGAGAGCCGGATCACGGTTACCAGGGTAACAGAGGTTCTCTTTATCATCACTGGAGACTAAACAGTGGCGACATCCAAGGACAGCTGAGCTATTCTTCTGTATTTTATATTGATCTAATACTGTAACACACATCTGTAGAATTCAAAAAAGTGTTGATTTCAACTTCTTTAAAAAATGGCTGCATAAAGGATTTTACAATTAATGTTTTAATCCACGTTGTGGAGGGCTTTTCAAATAGGGCACTGAAGTAAAGTTTTTCTTATTTCTGGCAGCAGAACATACAAACATAAGAGTCATAAGAGATCTCACCAGAGCCAAAATATTAAGAATCTCAGCGTCTGTCTAACCTGAGGAACTCCCTGTTTCTTCAAAGTCGATGTTGCCCAGGTGCAGGACACCGGCAACCACCCTGAACAGGTCCAGCTTCTCAGTGTCGTCCAGACCGATCTTCTTCATGGCCACACACATCCTGTTGAAGTCGCCCAGGTCGTCAAGAAGAGGGTCCTTCAGAGCACCGACCTTTCCGTGCTACAAAACACGCAACAGCGTCAAAAAAGTGGAGATAAGGAGAAAAACAAAGTGTGAGAATTCAATTCAAATCATGATTTACTCTGACACTATTCAGAAATGGCTAATTTTTTAATAAATAGTCTTTAAATGTTGAGTAAATCGGATTTTAAATTGAACAGGACATGGACCCAACAGCCTCAACAGTAATAGACACATATTAAAGGACTATTTCACCCACAAAATGATCATTTGTAAAACTTAATTTCATAGCCTGGGCTATTATTTATTTAAATCACTGAATTCAACAGGTCTATATTTGGGACAGGCCTTTAATTCCTTTCACACATAACTGTTGCTCAGCAAGAATTGGGAAATATAATCAAGTTATTTATTTAAACCAGTGTGAATATTACTTGTCGTCTTTGGTGCTCATACTGTAGTTTCAGTAAAACAAACTGAGTGAATTGTGGGGAATCTAAATGAGCTAACAATATGTAGCATCTCCGTATTGACAAAAGTTTCGACATTTATATTTGTATGTGCGATCAAAGCAGCTGACTAACATTAGCTCAAGTTTATAGCAAACAACTTGTTTTATACGTACAAAGAACTTCTATAGAAATGAACTGCTTGGCAACCAGACCAGGCTTCTACTTGAGACAGGCCTTTATTTGTCAAAATGTGTTGCTACACCAGGCTAGTGAAAGGGACTGGGCTTTTAATTGAAGTTGATCAGTATATTAATTACTCACCTAATGTTACACTGAATTTGTGAGGAAAATGTTTTTCTCGCATGCCTCAGCAGTGAATGAAGAATCCAGAAATGTCAAGTGGGTTGCATTTAACAAAAGCAAAACTATATCAAAACATCCATTTACAAACAACCATAATATTCAAAACACTTCAGCATAAACACTTTAATGCACAGACGAGTACCGCATCCGAACAAGCAAGTGCACTTGAAGAAGTTTTGCTGTTCATAAAGAAATTTCTCTGTATTTTTGGATCCTTCGTTCACCATGGAGGAATGCGAGAAAAAAGAAGGTTTCTTCACAAATTCAAGGGAACACAAGGTGAGTCACTAATGACCATTTTGTGGGTGAAGTATTCATTTAACACAGACTTTGCACTCAAACAAAAATATTTTACACTCATGAGTTGAAAAAGCCTCCACCGACAGCACACAGTAAACACTATAAACTACTGTAAGGCTGCTCTGCTACAGCAGCTTTGTCTCCAAAGTCTTGACAAGTACTGTATGTACGTACTTAAAGAAAAGAGCCTATATAATATCGAGCAATATCTCAGGGATATAGAAAACAGGCATGCAGTGAAAGACTGAACAGAACACTTCAACATCTATTAGGAATCAATATTAAACTGTGATAATTACCAAGAGCTGCACAATTATCAGTGAACGTATACTCCTGATTATAGGGTAAAATAAGAGAGCAAAATGCTTCAATTGCACCTTCTTCATGTTTGATGTATGTGTTTAAATGTTGATTAGCAAAAAAAAAAAAACTTTAACAATCTGTGCACTATGGAAAATATACCGTAATTGTGCAGCCCTTTATAATATGACTGTAAAAAAAACCCCAAAAAACAGCTGAGTAAGCAAACATCCTTTGTATTGTATCGACAGCGCCATCCAGCCCTGACCCCGCCCAAACCTGGCAGACACATGCAGACAAAGAGGAAGCATGCACCCTCATTTCCTGTTTGCACTACAAACAGCAGCATGTAAATCCTGAGAGTCTCAGTGTTTACTCAAGGAAAATACAGGATAAGGAGCACACAGCACAAAGCCCTGATAAGAGAGGAAACATCACCTTATTGTCCTACATAACAGACACGTGGAAAGACAGACAGTGACTTAATTAGCAACATGGGAACAACACACAGTGTGCTTACAACCACACAGATTTCACATTTCATCTGTGATCTATAATAAAAGCCCTTTTTTCATTAACAGAAATCAAACATGAGAACAAATTTCAATCTGCATGTGGTTTTTGAATATTAATACCAGAGGTGGGACTGAGTCATGGCACTCGAGTCACAAGTCAAGACAGATATGCCCCAAAGTCAAGTTCTACATCAAGACCTACAAGTCCCGAGCACAGACTGTAAAAATAATGGACGAAGCTGCCGTGACATCAGCCACTGGTTCATGGACTCCCATTTTGAAGCCAGCTTGAAGAAGTTTGGTATTTAGGCCATCGCCATCTTGCTTTTTTGGAGCCAGAAATGACCATATTTGGGCGAGATGGCTGGCGCTGTGAATCTGACGCAGATGTCTAGGGCACTATCGGCAGACGGCCCCTCACTCAAAGTGGCCCACTACTGTGTAACTTTAACCCTTACTAAAATGTAACCGGGTGAGTTATACAAAAATTCACACACTGTATGGTCGTCATGAAGAGGGAAACTAGCTAAAGAGATCAAAACCGTTTTTTTGTGCCAGACTGTAAACATGTTTACTTCTGCTGTAAAGTTGGGCATTTTAACATGGGGGTCTGTGGGGACTGACTGGCTTCAGGTGCCAGCCACAAGTGGCCATTTGAGGAACTGCAGTTCTTGGCACTTTGGAGTTAGCTTCATTTTTTAGCCAAGTTCCAAGTGCTAAACTTTATGCTTTGAGTCCTAAACAAGTCATAACGCGCCCTTCACCCAATGTCATGCCATTTTCACAACAGAGAAATATCATGAATGCTTTTTAAAATGTGTTCTTATTTGTTAAAACAAGTTTGTTGGAAGAAGTTGCATCTCTGTCTGTAATTTTTGACCCGCATGTTTGGCATACTGCAATTTGTTTTTTGTTGATCGACGCATAGTTTTTCTAGGCAAACAAAATTAACAATAATTTGGTATCATTTTTTACAACTGGCACTAAGTAACATAACATTAGCTCTTCAAGGTTCTCTCCTGCAACCTGATTGGATGCTGTCAGACAACAAAGTGGATCTGGGGAATTAACTGTCAAATTGCTGGGAATGAATATTAATGTTAGCTGATTCAGGAAATGAAGGGAAATGAATTGATCCGTGGCACACTTTATAAATAAGATAATCTTGGAGAATATTTTGGACCCAAAGTTTTTATTCTAGGTTAACACCTGACAAACATCTTGCATCCAAGAGAATTATCTCACTCTTTCGGAAAAAGACTGGCAAACCAAAGCTCATTAATTGGATTAGAGAGTTATCTATGATTCCAATTTTGGAAAAGATGAAATATGCCATTAGAGGGAAACAATAAGCTTTTGAAATAATTTGGGGTCCTTTCCTACAATATATGGAGAATGTTGATTGAGAAGTATTGTGATGAAGTAGTAGTGTACCTCTGCAGTTGTCTGAATCATTTAAAATCCTATTAATACTTGATTGTATCAGTATGTTCCATGTGAACTATGTCTTTAAATTTGAAACAAGGCACAAACAATGAAAGCATGACATGACTATAACAATAGGGGACCCCCTTTGGAAAACAGAGGAACCTCTTTTTTGTTTATCTTATCATGTATAATTTATCATTATTATTTTTGTTGTTTGCATTTTGTAGTCTTTAAATTGTCTGACATATAAGGGAAGGACAATAATCTGTGTGCTTTCAATATCCTTCTGGATGAGAACACAGTAGCTTCCCAGTTCTTATAAGGTATTTGAAAATTAATAAAGAAAAAAAAGATCTCTGGGCTCAGGGAAAAGTATCAAGTATTGTCTCAAGTCACTGGTGTTAAAGTCCAAGCTGAGTTGCCAGTATTTATTTATTACTTTTTTAAAAATTTTGTCCAGTCGAGTCTGAAGTTATCAAATTTGTGACTCAAGTCATTGGACTCGAGTCCACATCTCTGATTAATACATAGAGCAGTTAAAAACCTGGACTGAGGGGGTGACAATGAAACCCAAGCACAGCTAATCAAACACCAGCTACCTCTGAACTTCTACAAATAAAGTATGACTAGTCCATACCCATTGAGTGCACAGATGCCCACGTACAGTTTCACATGGGGTGTGTTTGGGATACAGGTCATAGGAAATTGCAGATTAAATAGTCAGCTGAACCCATTAAGAAGAGCAATGTATTCAGACAGAGTATTTTTGTGAATTTGATGACTATTGCAGCCACAGCGATTGGTTGCATTTTAGCCATTTATAAGCATTTTTCTGTTGTTATAGCGCCACCCAGTTGCCAATTAGAGTTAAAGTTCTCCAGTCACCTTGAGGTGTCCTGTTCTATATATCTACCAAGTTTAGTAAAAATCGATATGGCGGTTAGGCCTAGATAAGAAATTAGCTCTCTAGCACCCCCATTTTGTTTGATCGGGTCAATTATGGAGGGGTCCCCTCAGATTATGGTCATGTGTGTGGTCATATGCCTACAAAGTTGCGTGGTGATCGGTGAAACCCTTGAGATGTTATACACCTTTATGTGATGAGCCACACCCTCCACAATATTCATTGCCTTATAGAAGCTCAGTTTTAGTAAGTTTTCCAACTTTTGCTAAGAGGGAACTTTAGATAGGTTTCTACCATTTTTTTCCCCTGTTAAAGGGGTTTTTTGGGGAGTTTTTCCTTATCCGCTGCGAGGGTCATAAGGACAGAGGGATGTCGTATGCTGTAAAGCCCTGTGAGGCAAATTCTGATTTGTGATATTGGGCTTTAAAATTGATTGAATAAAATTGAGATATTGGTCCCTAGATTATGTTCACCGAGTTTCATGCAGATCGGTCAAACTTCCTAGGAAGAGATCAATTTTATGTGTTCAAAATTCAAAATGGCGGAAAATCTATATAACCAAAAGTTATGGGTTCTTGAGGCTAATTTGTTCCTCACGAGGAGAGGCATCTCTGTGCAGAGTTTCATGTCTCTACAACATACGGGGCATGAGATATGCCCATTCAAAGTTTTTTTCAATCGGTTGCTATAGCGCCCCCTTTGGCCAATTGATGTAATATTGCTTCATTCGCATCCTCCCATGACCCTCTACCACTGTGCCAAATTTCACATGGACTGACCAAGTCAGTGAGGAGAAAAAGTGGAACAGACACACAGACACACCCACAGACAGAGTTTTTGTCATTCTATAGTAAGATGTTGCTGGGGAAAAAAGTCTTTTCACCAGGGGTAAAGTATCAAGTGCAAGTTATCTCTCAAGTCACTGGTGTTAAAATCCAAACCAAGCTGTTATTTATTTACAAGTCGAGTCTGAAGTCATCAAATTTGTGACTCAAGTCTGACTTGGACTCGAGTCCCCATCTCTGATTAATACATAAAGCAGTAAAAAACCTGGACTTAGGGGGTCACAGTGAAGCCAAAGCACGGCTAATCTCACACCAGCTGCTTCTGAACTTCTAGAAATAAAGTGTGATTACAATATTTCAGAGAAAAGGCAGAATACAGAGCAAATTAAATTACATATAAAAATCAAAGAATAGCTTATGATTGGCCTCTAAGGTAAAAACAAAAGTTCAATCATTGCATTTCTCTGAACGTACTCGGCTAAATAAACCCATTAATAAACAACTGAAACCACTTCCTTTGTTTACCACTTCCTCACCTGATCTCCCTGAAACTTTGATCAGCATTAAAGAAGATATTCTATCTTAGAAAACAAGGAGTGAAATGAACATGTCTAATTAGTCCCTGAGAGAGAAACATGTCACACTTACTCTCCTAATTGTTTCATGATATTAATTACACATCTCCTGCAGGCTGTGCAGCCACCGTTTCTTTTTCATGTCATACATAATTCATCAAATACACAGACCTGAACTAATTTCTTAGCATGAAATATTCTTATTGACCAATTCCTGCTTGGCGTTTCATGTCTGCAGCTGATTTCTTTAAACGTGTGTCTGGGCTTTGCTTTCAGTGCTTACTCATTGTTATTGGGGAAAAGATTAATGCACATGTATCTGAATGATTTATTGCACAGGAGAGAATCAAAAAGTGCAGCATTACAATACAGTCTTTGCCTTTGCTCCTTAACTGTAACACAAGTGTCCAAAGTAATCATGTATCGTGGTTGGAGTGATGAGACCAGAACAGAACGTGACATTACCTCGGGGCTCTTGCGGTTCTGCATGATTTGCTTATCAGAGTCCTTACTGGCAAAGTATCTGGTGCATCCTCGGTTCAGGTACTGCAACGGAGAAAAATCAGCTTAAAAAACATTTAAACACAATCAGTGTTTTGATAAATTAAATTCAGACACAGTGTAAATGCATTTCACTGGTGGCGACAAACCTGCTGGGGATATTTGTATTGATTTCCATCGTCTAAAAGATTTACTTTGTTGTCTTCCTAATATTGCTCCACAGCTGACTAGTGGTGAATCACGTGAAGTAATTGCCTCTGTTGATGTGGGTGTCACCTCGGGGACCTGATATAATGACACTATGATAAACATCTTAAGGAACAGCTTGAGCTGCTTGTTGTTCTGGTAAGTGTTGTTTTGTCGAGCATGTGGAGGAAAATAAAGGCTGCGGTAAACACCTTTATGCTCTCTGACTTCGCCCCCGCTGAGCTGATAATTGCATTCAGAAGGGAAAGAAGTCAATTGAGAAATATTTTGTCACTGAGGGGGATTTTGATTTCACATGGGAGGACATCTTGACATGATGAAAAGATAAGCTTCTGTGACATCTAGTGGGCTTCCTCAGAACTACCAACCTACGTGCACTCCAAAATACTATTAAATGCAATTTAACTACATTAAAAGCAGCTTTTAAAATAATTTCTGTCTCTTCCAAAAACAGGACCACAACTTCTCACCTTCATTTCACTTTGGAGTGTCACAGCTGAAATTCTCTTGGGTCACAAAACAGTAGAGGTCTACAGAGACGCCATTATGTCTATCTGTAACTGTTCAACCAATATAATAATATCTGTATTTGTATTTGGATAGAGGACTGAAAGTGGCCATGGTTTATACCGTAAGTCACGTTAAATCAGGCAGATGTTGTATTTTCTAACCTAAAACTAGTTGGATGCATCTGTTGTGCTTTCATCTAGTTGCTTTATTAAAGGCGTATAATACATTAAGAAAAACATTTCCACTTCCTCATACTGTACTTTCCATCGATCTATATTTATTTTCTACTAAACTAAGTTTTATGAACTGTCTGTCCCCACCACATGGAATACCATTTAAGTCAATATTGAATAAATACATGAATAAATATGGCCATGAAATAAATCCTTGAAAAAAAGGAAATAAATATACAATCACATAAATAAATGTAAATATAAATATTAAAATGAGACAGTATATTTTAACATATAAATAATGAAGATTTTCAATAAAACTTTATTAGATATTTAAAGGACTACTTCTATTTATTTCAGGGGATTTTATTTCATAATTCCACATTAATTTCCCAGCTCATTTAATTTCCAATTGTTTATATAAACATGAAATATTGGTAGGGTGAATATTAACTGAAATATAAGGTAAAACATCTTCATATATATATATATATATATATATATAATTATTTGGGTAGCTTTTATTGGACAGGACAGATCAAGCGTGACAGGGGAAAAGAGAGGGAATGACGTCCAGGAAAGGGCATGGTCTGGAATGAATCCCGTAGCCATGCCAGCTGCGCTACTGGGCACCCCTATATGTTTTTTTTAAATGGAGGAAATGAACAAACACAGCTAAAGCTGCAGATTCTGACTTTCATTTTGATGTATAATTTGCAGGGATTTGAAAAAAATCCAGCTGCCACACCAGGCTTTTGTCTCGGAACTCCTGCACATGAAGCTTCCTTCTCCACGGTACCTGGGTTTCACTGAGTGATAGCTGGGAAAAGTGAGCTCTCTGCCTGCTGTGCACTGACTCAGTGGGGGCAACAAAATGTAGCGACGAGTTCATCAATAATGTGTGATAAATGAGATAGCTAGTTAGTGAAGTTGTTCTGTGTTGTTCTATGTTGCAAATAGAATGGACATATTCATCTTGTGGCCATCCACAATGATATGAACAGCTTAAAGAAACAATGCACAAACATGTTAATCATGGCTTTTTTCCAAATAATGAGCAATTTTGGTAGAATAATTATCTGTTTCCATCACATTATTTGAGCTTTCCCAAGTAACATATTCGGATTCAGGTACATCTGTACAATACAGTGGTCAATAACATGTGTTCTGCTTCTAAAAAACATTGGCACTGCAGACTCTGGGGACTGTCTAAGCCCACTGACCCTGAAGCTGTCTGGAGAGTCCAGGTGCAGCTTCTTCTTTATGTCCTCAGATGCTCCAGCACACAGCCTGTAGAAGATGTGGTAGTTCCTCTCGTCGTTACTCTGCATGCAAATCCTCGACTTCTCCAGCAAGTAATGTGAGACAAATCCACCCACGACTGCATTCTGGTAACGCAAGAGAAGATCCAGATCTTAAAAGTCATGTTTCACACACATCAAAGTATAGAGGAGCCTCGAATGTAATCAGTGACCATCTGGTACCTTCTCATTGAAATGGATTTCCACAAACTTCCCAAAGCGACTGCTGTTGTTATTTCGGACTGTCTTTGCATTTCCAAAGGCCTCCAGGAGGGGATTTGCTGAGATTTGAATACAGAAAAACAATCAGGATCACCTTGCCTCCATTTGGTACATACTGTACTGACAGTTAGTTACTCATTTATTACCTTCTACAATTCTCTCGTCAATATCTTGCCCACTTCCATATGTTGTGGTGAGATATCTACAGGACGGAGATGAAATAAGGAAGACATTAACCATGATAAATAGATTTTAAAAAGTAAGACAGAAACACCAAAACCCAAATCACTGTTCTCACATTATAAAGACAATAACTTCCCTTTGCGAAGAAGCTACATTTTTGCTACTTAAATTGGCAATTAGATCCAGTTCAGTGTTGTTTTACTATCTCTACAGTTTATCACTTTTCATTAGATATTTGAAAAGGTATGAGCAGTAAAAAGGTCAAGTCAATTGTGAAATATTTTGGTTTGGACCACTTTATATCCTGTGAAGGGAGGATGAATATGGGATGCAGGATGATACTCATACCTGAGAACAAACTTGGTGTTTTCGGTCTTTCCAGCACCGGATTCACCAGAAACTATGATAGACTGGCTCATCTTGAGAACCTTCATGTCCCTGTAGGCTTTGTCGGCTAAAAGAAGAAGACACATTCTCCTTAAAAAAGTAACACCAAAGCTCTTAGTACCTATCAGTACCAGTACAATATCAGTAATGTGTTTCAAATACAACTCTTTTACTCCTTAAGTGCTGTGATATTACTTAAGTTTGTAGTTCTGTACATTTCCCCTTTATTTAACAGGGATTTTATTCCTCTCAATTGTTATTGAAAAACATTCAAATATACAAACATTGCAGACGTGTACTCATCATAATCCTACAAATAAACAAGAGCATGAATTTAAATGAATAAAAATTAAATAATAATAAAAACAGAATTGGGAACTTCAGCATATTCAAATTATAATAAGAACATATGTTATTCTGCTTTAAAGAGCTCCCTGTACAGATTGACAGATTTGTATTTTTTTTTTCTTAATTTTAAGAGTCTTAAATATTCTTTAAATTAGCATTAAAATCCAGTGAAATTACGATACAATACGATACGATACGATAAGAAATACTTGATCGTGCCCGTAGGGAAATTTGTCTTGGACTCAGGAGCATTGCTGCCTTACAATAATAGTCCAGAGGAAATGAAAAGCATATACCATAAAAAAAAAACACATAAAAACACTACTACATAACAGTTTTGCACATCAGCCACTCATATATTGCACATAATACCAGAACCAGCACATTTATGTATCTGAAATTAACCATGTATGATCAATAAGTTTACAATAAATTCATGTCACACTTGTTATATTCAAAATGTATGCTGACACTGACATTTTTAACCAACAAATAATATTTTATTCAAGTCCAAAGACCAATTAAATGTAGGCTATACAATGGTCAAATAAAAGCCTTAAAGATTTTGGTTCAGTATTGCAAAAATTACATTTGTTTCCAACAATTAAGAATTTGGATCATACTGGTAATACAGGACTGTCATGGTTATAGCAATACCCTACAAAAATGTTGTTTCTTAGCAGTGATAAGAAGGTGTGAGCTTTCACCTATAGCATAGACATGAGGTGGCAGAGTTCCCAGTGACTTCCCCCGGTACGACTTGATGGCATCAGGACCGTAAAGTTTGGGGATGTCATAGTAAGGATTCACAGCTATCAAGATATTGGCCACATAAGTCTGTAAGAGATATGAAAACATCTATGATTAGAGTCGCTGTATTTAGAGACAGTCAATAACCAGCTAAAATACACATGAATTATTGAATAATGAGAGACAACAGAGGCAAAAACGAGACACACCTTAACTTGTTTCCCTGTCTTGCTTTCCCTATCTACCAGCTGTTTCTCATTTCCTAAGTGAGAGACTGGGATCAGGATTGGGTTTGCCAGTCTGACTCTGTGACCCTTCTCTAGCTTCCCTCCCCTCTTTACCACCTGGTGCTTTCCCCCCAGGGAAACAAGGAAAGGGATCCTCTCTCCTGCTGTCTCCCAGCTTGTCACTGTATCTCCTGATGCAGCTGGATAGAAGTGACTTTAAAGGGACAGTTCACCCCAAAATCAAAAACACATATTTATCCTCTTACCTGTAGTGCTATTTAACTGTCTCGATTGTTTTGGTGTGAGTTGCTGAGTGTTGGAGATATCAGCCAAAGAGATGTCTGCATTCTCTTTAATATAACGGAACTAGGGGCGTCGGTGGATTAGCGGATAAAGCAGGTGCCCCATGTACAAGGCTGTTGCCGCAGCAGCCCGGGTTCAGCTCCGGCCCGTGGCCCTTTGCTGCATGTCATTCTGGCTCAAAGCGCCAAAAATACATTTGAAAAACTCAACAGCAATGTCTCTTTCCAGAGATCTTGACCCAGTTAATCCAGATAATCCACAGACAGACAGTTTCTTATAAGAACTATTTTTTTCAACCCACCTTTACACACCAACAAAATCAATTTGCAGAAGGAATTGTGCATCTACTGCTAGCTTACCTAGCACCACTGAGCTAGCTAATGTTACAGCTCAGCTGAGGAGGATGCCATTAATGTTTACATCTCATGCCGTCACAAGCATGAGCCTCTCATTCAAGAGTAGATGCACGCTTCTTCTTCTTGTCCTTCTGCACAATGATAGCAGGTGTAGTTCAGTAGAAAGAAAATAGTTCCTACATGAAACTGCTTACGACAAGGTCTGTGGATTATCTTGAGCAACCAGGTCATGATTTCTGGAAAGAGACATTGCTGTTGAGTTTTTCGAAAATGTATTTTGAATTTCAAAAAAAGTCATTCCTATATTTCATGTAGGTACTATTTTCTTCCTACCAAACTTCACCCGCCAACCATATCACTGCGCAGAAAAAAGCGTGCATCTACTGCTAGCTCACCTAGAACCACGGAACTAGCTAACGTTACAGCCTGTTGTCCATGAGTAGATGCACGCTGAGCTTAATATGCTCACATCTGTGGATTATCTTGAGTAACTGGGTCATGATTTCTGGAAAGAGACATTGCTGTTGAATTTTTCAAACATATATTTTTGGTGCTTTGAGCACCACAAGCTGAGTGCCATCTAGTTCCACTATACTCGAGAGAAGGCAAACATCTCTACAGCTGATATCTCCAACACTCAGCAACTCACATCAAAACCACCCAGATCGATAAATAGCTCAGAGGATAACAGCAATAATATGTAATTTTAATTTGAGGGTGAACTGTGCCTTTAAGCTACTGCAAGAGCACTTGTGCAGAAACGTGTGCTAATATGCAGACAAGTATAGATGGAGAAGAAAACATACATAGATGTGGTCTTTATTGTACCGCACTCTGACGTTGTTCAGAAGAGTGGCCTCATTCAAGTACATAAGGGAACCTGAAAATAGAGGACACAAACAACAAACAAGACAAATAAAATAAAGCTATTCATTAAATGTGTTAAGATTAACAACATGATTGTAAAAGCCACATGTGTTGACTTACAGTTGTCATCTACATGTTTGTTGACATCATCCTCTGCTGGGAAGACTTGGCTCATCAGAGCAAGAAAAGTCTGCAACGAAAACAGTTTCCATTATTACAACATTCACATGATGTAATTTCCAGAAGAGACAGACATGCAACAGGTGGCACTGTCTCTATTCATCCCTCTATATTTATCTTTGATATGACACAAAACAAGTGTTTATAAGCATCCCAAAAAAATAAAAAGCGTGGGGGGAATATTAGGCGTAATAACAAAGCTAAGCAAGAATGCATAAACATGAATCATTCATCATGGTTAAAGATCACAGTAATGATGTTTGGTGCGACATGTTCCCAGGCTGAATTAGTTACTGATATTCTCACTCTATTGTTTAAGAGTCTGAGTTAATGGAAATAAACTCAATGGAACAAGCCGACTGTGAGAGAAACAAGGAGAGACATGGCAGGATAATGAATAATTTGGTGGGAGAGCAACCGGATCCGAACACCTGAGTGAGTAAGTGAGTGTATGCTGTGTGTGTATGTGTGTGTGTGTGTGGTTGAGACAAGATGACGGCAGGGCTCTGTGCTGATCTTGTGGGTCAGGGTGTGCACTGCGCCTTTAAGAAGGTAAGACCACGTGGCGTGATTACAGCAGAACTATAACTGTGTCTGACCATTCCCTGTACAATATATATTTCAATAATAAACACTCTTTTGCTCCATTTACAAGTTCATTACACTCCCTATATCAATACCACTGCTTGTGTGTGTGTGTGTGTGTGTGTGTGTGTGTGTGTGTGTGTGTGAGTGTGCCCCAGTCTGTGCTGTGATGCATGGTTTATTACCGCAAACAGGCTGTAAGCATAAACAGAATCTGCTTTGTGTGCGTGCTTCAGTACTTTGGCTCAATCTGGACAGCCACAACAATAATAACCATGTGAGAAATGTCTAACCGATAAAATTGACAAAGAAGAAGAGGCGGCCGTGCTGAGGGCTGTGCACTGAGCTGAGCCCCTAATGAGCTCCACACAGCAGTAAAAAAAAAAAAAAAGAAAAAAAAAAAGAGACACTCAATGGGCCTTTCATTCCCTCACTGAATGGGACAGGAGTTTCCGCCTTGCAATAAAGTGATCATGATCATTCAAAGTTCACATGTATGCAAAATGAGATTCACTGCAAACTACCCCAGATCAGTGTAGCAGAACATAAAAATATTTATGCATTTATGCAGAGTCTTAATACACTCATTTCCAATGCGACTTCGATTCAGAGGGTCTCTGGTATCTGGTGACATCTTGACATTAAAATAAAGTTCAGTGTCAATTATGATTCCCTCAGACAAATTTTAAAATGATTCTCAAAATAGCTGAGGTATTGCAGTGCAAACACAAGGTTTTCTGACAACTTTACTAGTATTACAGTACTTTAACTGGCTGTTCTTGCGCACTCACAAGCTCTCTCACAAGCCAGTAATTCGTGTATAACCCACATAATTTGGAAGGCTGTAATCACATCAGAAATACTTTACTGATCTCCGAGAGGAAATTGTGATTAGCTACAGTCGCTCCCATGTGACGAACAGGGAATTATAATAAGTAAGAATAAAAGTATGAAATAGAAGTATGTAGAAAAAGAGTATTATAATAACATGGAAATAAAAATGTGTATTATGTTACAATACATACCACTAGTACTTAAAATATTAAGAATAAAAAAATTAATATATGATATACTTTTTTGTGCTGAGTCTGTAATGAAGTAGTATCAAGAGATAAAGCCTGTGAAAAGAGGCAAGTTGGGGTTGTGGATGGGTCAAACAAACGAAGGACTTTCACCCAGGAGACCAATGTTCGGGACTGGGTAAAAACAAATGAACTTTGAGACACGTTGTCACCATGTCCTTTTTCTTAAAGATTTTTTTAGGGCATTTTTGCCTTTAATTGATAGGACAGTCAAGCATGAAAGGGGGGAGAGAGAGGGAGTGACATGCAGCAAAGGGCCACAGGCTGGAGTTGAGCCCAGGCCGCTGCGGCAACAGCCTTGTATATGGGGCGCCAGCTCTATCCACAAAGCCACCAACGCCCCACCATGTCCTTTTTCTAAGCCATATCTATCTAACTTTACACTAGCTACTAAACTTTACTCTAACTAAGTAACTTTACTTTAGGTAACGTCATTCATAGGTTGTTAATTCGTTAGATATCATACGGATCATTGTATGAGGTTACGATGACTTTAACAAGGATAGACATTTTTGGAATGCAACGAATTTATACTGAACATGACTTTTTTTTTTTTACCAGAAAGGCATAAAAATTTTCAGAATAAAAGATCAAAAGTAACATAATCAAACTTAGTTTGGCAAAGTCGCCTTCATGTATGCAGCTCCATGTGAAATCTTTGGCAAAGGGATTTAAAGTTGCACTCATTATTTCCTCTAGGCCGTTTCAAAGTAGAACGCTGCTTGGGCCACATTTTCCTGACCGAACCCGACCTGAGTCCGAGACAGTTATAACCAGACCCGGCCTGACCCTGACAGACTTTCTGATTTTTGAGTCCAAACCCGACCCGAGCCCAATGCAGTTTGTTGCCTGACATAGTTATTGTTATAGACAGTGTGTAAATGACCATCAAAAGACTGCTGTTACACACATTCAAAAAACACCGCTCTCACAGCAGCACAGCACAGCACTGTACACACACTCAATTGGAGAGGAGCCTGTGTTGCGTTTTGGCGTTGTCACGTAAATAACAAATTGCAGCACTTGAATAGGCCATAGCACAACACAGCAGCATGTTAAGTGGGCCGAATCCAAACCGAACCCGGGGAAAGCTTCTGATTTGTTATCCGGACCCAGCCCGATCCGTCGGGCTCTGACGGGTCCCGTCAGGCTTGAGTCGGGTATCCACACTCTGTTTCAAAGCACTGTTGCAGAAATTATGTTTGCCATCATTAATGTCAGGGTGTATTTTAGCTTGATTTTTGTATGGTTTATAGTTGCCCATTGTCTTGTTTGTCTTATGGTTTGCTTATGGCATTCATCAATTTACTTTTTAGTTTTTCTTCATAATAATGTCATTTTATGTTTTATATTGTTCACTTTTGTGTTGCATATTTGATGATGTATTTTTGTTCTATGTAATCTATGTTGCTGCCTGTCGATAGATTTAATCTGGCTGAATAAAGGTTAAAACAATTAAAAAAAGAAAATTAAAAGACTGTTCTTCTAGAGGACATTTTGAACCTTGCAGCTAATAATGATAGCATTCCAAAGTAGGTGTTCCAGTACCGGGGCCCTGGCTCACTTTAACAAGTCAAAATGTCTGAGGCTAGAATGGTCTGTAGCGGTGGTGAAGCATTAGGCGAAACCAACGCAGAGGCAACTGCTCTAGTCCATGCCTGTTGTAAACATCAGAGGCCTGCTTGCTGGGGACACGTGATGGCTCAGGTGTAACAGGTGGCCTTTACCTCCTAATGAGCAGCTCTCCCTCTAGGCAACACTATCAGTGCACCTGCTGCTGCACTCTTTATTTATTCATGCCTCTGTACATGTGGTCTCTCGTGTTTCTCACATTTTACACATTGTTGTGCTGACGCCTCTCTAATCGCACCTTAGACAGATGGCGACAAAACTACAGAAAATACTTCAGTTCTCACACACTGCATCGTAATTCTCCATGAAAGTCTTGTATGAAGTTTATGAATGTGTGTGTTTGTGTATGGTGTGAGCATCCTCCTGGGATTATAACACCTAGTTTATGTGCGCCACTTAATGAATGAGCAATTCTTACATCGACTGAGCCACATGACAGAACAACAAGCCTCTCACACATATCCCCAGCTGGACTTTCTTTGCTTACAAATGGAAAGCCTGTGTATGTGCATGTGCCTGTGTGTGATGACCCACCTTGCCCTTCTGGTTCAGTGGTTCTATGGTGAGCGTGTCGGCTCCTATGTCAACGATCATCCCCAGCTGGAACCCGTCGGCGGGGTGGGGCGCCCACACTGGCTTCCCATCCTCCATGGCTTACCTCAAGTCCAGCACGACGACACAACTAAAAAGACAGAAAGGCAAAGAAAGTAATAAAGGAGAGCGACGTGTGGCTTAAAATGAATATGCAAAGTACAGTATGCAGCTTTGCATTTTGACTAAGGTGCTTCAAACAAAGTGGATTTGCGTCTGAGCCGGTCCCAAGGCCTGCATTGCTACACAATATGCATTTCACCTTTTCTTCACAGCTGACAAACAAAAGTGGATGTCGACACTGCTGATTTAACTACTACGAAAACATTAATCCCCAGTGAGGGCAATTTCTCAGTGTTCCATTTTATTGCTGAGCACCTGATCCTCATTTGCATGGCAGCATTTTCCTACATCCCTTCATACCCCACAGACTCCTTACTAGTATCAAAAATAAGTAATGGTAACACTATGTTTTACTTGACATGGAGACTAATATCAGAGTTTAATGGCTAGGTACGACTGAAAGAAGCTTAAGTGAAACAACACAAAACCAAAAATGAGAATAACTCCATTGTCAAACTGAAATACAGTGTTATTCCTCACGACATGACTGGGACCTGACCCACTGATGCAGTCTGCTTCGCTTTCCTTTAACCTATTATTCTTCCTACTGATATTTTAAGAAAGGATTTTCCACTGGGACACGACTGGAGGGAGTCCTGCAATCTCTTGTGAGGACAACACTATCCTGAGTGACCTGACGTAAACTGCCTGGCCAAAGAATCCAGTTTGGAGCATCTCAGGTCTGTAGGTGCATGTTGGGACTGTGCGGAGTCCAAGCTAAAGCAGGTAATCCTGAGACAATGCTATTAAACTATGACATGTTGTCGTACTTTGTGCGTACTATCTTTTTTGCAACTAACCAATTAACCGGTTATAGAGCTTAAAATTGTGACGGTATTTTTAGTCATCAACCATCTGTGTTTAAGTTGGACGTCAAACTAAAACAGACTCTTTTAAAGGGACGGTTTACCTCAAAATCAAAAATACATATTTTTCCTCTTACCTGTAGTGCCATTTAGCAGTCTGGGTGGTTTTGGTGTGAGTTGCCAAGTGTTGGAGATATGGGCCGTAGAGATGTCTGCCTTCTCTTGAGTATAATGGAACTAAATGGCACTGGGCTTGTGGAGCTCAAAGCACCAAAAAAATACATTTGATAAACTCAACAGCAATGTCTCTTTCCAGAAATCATGACCCAGTCACTCAAGATAATCCACAGACCTTGTTGTGAGCAGTTTCATGTAGGAACTATTTTCTTTCTATCGAACTTCACAGACCAACCGTATCAATTTGCAGAAGGTAGCGTGCATCTACTGCTAGCTTACCTAGCACCACTGGGCTTGCTAATGCTACAGCACAGTTGAGGAGGACGCCATGAATGTTTACATCTCGTACTGTCACAAGCACAAGCCTCTCGTTCATGAGTAGATGCACACTTCCTTCTGTGCAATGGTATGATTGGAAGGTGTAGTTCAGTGGAAAGAAAATAGTTCCTACATGAAACACAACATTTTACTGTCTCTTCGAGCACTACAAGCCAAGTGCCATGTAGTTCTATTATATTTGATAGACGGCAGACATCTCTACAGCCCATATCTCCAACACCAAAACAATCTAGATTGGTAAATATTACTACAGGTAAGAGGATATTTAAACTGTATATTAAAATTGTACAACTTTATTCTGTAGCTGACAGCAGCAGTTGGACCTTAAAGGCGCAGAGTACAAAGTGAATAATTTCTGTCCTAATCTTGCCCACAATATCCAAGCATCTTTGATCAAATGTGAAAGCTTGTATTTTCACATGCGTGTGATTAATGGTTCTTAATCCTATAACCACAGAGTTCTTCAAAGCAAAAGTGCTGACGTTATGCTTGATATCCCATTAGCCTCAAGGATTGAGGTCAAATGTCAGACAGAATAGGTGCTGGAAAGTGCTGATGCAGCCTTCAGCAGCAAGACTCAAAGTTCAGCAGGTGCATCGGCTCAGCCTAATGGCGGATCCAACCGAGGGAAAGACGAGAGATGGTAGTGACTATCTCTATTGCTTTTCTACCCTTGTTTTGGATCTAGATGACGCTGGATCACAAATGACATTGCATTATTCAACATTTTAACTGAACATCATATTCCTTTGTGTTGCATCATAACTTCCATACAAGAGCAGTCAACCATTTCTTTCTTACTAAACAAATGATAGGCCCTTGCATGATAGTGCTTAATAACCACAATCAGGCTTTTACAGCTTCTTTATCAAGCACACGTCACGTCTGGTCAACACACTTACATTTGGCTTTTCTCACTATAAGCTATGGAAACTTCCAGGCACTCACTCACTCTGAGGACTTTGTAACGTAAGGCTCAGATGTTAAACCCTTTAAAATTAAGATATAAGCTACAGTAGCTCATATCACTGCACATCCTGTTGCAAACCATGAGACTGAATGTCCTTTAAGATTCTGAGAATGTCTGCGAACCTGTGCTAAGAAGTGGTAGGCCTACTGTAAGTATGAATGAACGAAAGCCTAGTTTGCACCCAAGGTAAAGCAGGGCCGAATGTTATCACTGCTTCCACTGAAAGTGAATGTAACATGAGACACACGGCGTGCCGTTATCTTTATTATTAGATAATAACCTTTGTTTTCAATAGATGTCTTTGCCCCGGGTGGGAAAACAGCCGAGTAGGAGGAGGATTTTACAAATCAAGGGGCCGACCCACCGTCAAGGCCAAAACTAGAACAAAAAACTCAAACAGTGCACTGAGAGGCAAAGTTATAAATGAAGTTATAAATAAATAAGTATGATACTAGAAAGTTCTTGAACCAACGTATCGTCTTCACATTGGCAGGATGCAAGCTACAATCACTTAAGGCTGCAACAAGTGAAAAGGACCTGTCTGTAACTTTAGGAACTGTTTGTACAATAAATGGAGGCCATATCCATATTTGCAGTGGTGATAATTTGATTATTAAGCTCTAAAAAACATCCAAACATAAGCAGGAGTGCAAGAAAATCACACCATAAGGAGGGAGGATAAAGATTACTTTCCCAGTCTGTTATCTCGAACCTTCAAGTGTGAGATCAAGGCTAGGGGGATCTTCAAGACTGATGACTGATAACCACAAAGCTTTCCCACAGTGCAAGTTTAATTATAGCACGTCCACAAAGGAAATACGCTCAGTTCAAGAAAACCTAAATGTCTATACATATCTTGCTATGACTGACAATTCGTGCTTACCACCTTTGTCAGACACTAAGAGCAGTCTACGTCGGTCTGCCGCAAACACCACACACAACACATCTGTCTTTGTAATACAGCACTGCTCAATGCATCAAGAGCTTTGAAATTATCATGCTACTTTCAATGCAAACCTCCAAACAGTCTGGTATATCACTCACGGAGAGATGTCCTTGAGCCTAAAAGTCTACACCACTGACTCCTCTCAACAAAACAGACACCGGCCCATCATGAGTAACTTTGACTCTGCAGCCCTAAATCCTCTTAGTATCTGACCCTAATCCAGACCATGAGGTGAAACGCTTCAAGTGACACCTAAGCCTCACAAATAAAAGTCTGTGATCAGTTGTTGTGAGACGAATCAGAAGGGAAGCAAGGAGACACAGGAGAAGGAGAAATAAACGTGCACACAAATGAATGGACTCTGGCTCAGAGCAAAAGCAGGACACACAAACACGCCTCTTGTTTCCTGCCTCTTGTTTCCTGTTCTCTACTATAGGCAAAAAAGGACATGGAGAATTCTTTGGAAGTAGACAACAGGGAAACAGGATGAAGACACATGTAGAGACAGATCACACTTTCAAAGGTGCATCTTTAAAAAACATGGACAACATAGAGTTTTGGTTTAAGAGGGATTTAAAGTGGCTGAGGGGTGGCAGCATGACACAAATGAAAGAATTAAGAAGAATAGACAGTCAAATAAAATAGGTTCAAGACAACCTCATAATTAAATGGATTTAAATATATCAGCACCATCTGTAGCCTAAGTTACACTGAGCTCCTTATGAATAAACCATTATGACTACTTCAGGTGTTTGTAGGCAAACTCACACTGTACTAATGCAGGCAATGCTTGTTAATAATTACACAATATTATAGCTAGTTATCAAACGCAATACACTACAACAACTGCACAAACTCCATCTATGTACCTGTGAAGACAAATATATAAATATATAATATAAAACACCTCAGGCTGTTTCTGACTCTGACTATCAGCTATAAAAGTGTAAAAGTCAGACACACACTTACGTTCAGGGGGTTAAATTTAGTATCAGGACGACAGGAAAGAGTTTTAAGTCCCTCATACGGATGTGTAGTTGTAGCAGTAGTCCAGCTCTCTCACTCTTCTCCTCGGGACAGGACAGTACAGGACAGGACAGGACAGGACGGACGGAGCAGCGGGCTGTCTGGATGACAGGCTGTGCTCGGTGCTCCGGTGAGCCCAGGTGACGTCACTCCGACTGTACACTGCTGAAGGTGCGTTGAAGTGCTGCTCGGAAGATCCTGTGTCAGGTCGTTTTCACTGGCTGTGTTTTCACACCATGCAAATCCAAGTGTGCCGTGGGATTTTGTGATAACCTCGCATTATTACTGCAATATTCAACTGAGCCTAAACAAAAAGTTATGAATGAAATTTTAATTCATTTTTTTGAATTCAACTGTCTTTCTTTTAAATCACCCATTTCTTAATAAAGAGGCAAACTCTACGTAAAATATGTAATTTAATTTAATTTAATTTAAAAAAAACTTGATTTTCAATTTCCCCTTTGAATTGATGTGTTATTGGTGCTTTGATGTAATTTTAAAACATTTAAGAAATGTGAGGACTTTACATGAGGACTTTACATTAGGACGTCTTGTTTGAGGACATTGGGACTTTATTTTGGTCAGACTGTCTCCACAAACAAAAGGACATCCCTTGCTTGGAGTATGGCACAAAGAAAACTGATGAAGAGGTTTTAAAACAATAAATCACAGACTTTTATATTAATTTCAATATTTGTAATTTCGTTTTTACACACGAACGTTCAGACATTGAAATAAACAGTTTTATTCTTTATTACACACAGTGATTATTGAAAATAAACCCAACATCCACATATGAGGACATCTTTTTTTTCTTCTAAAACTACTTCCTGTTCAAAGACAGTTTTTATTTATTTATTTATTTATACCATTAGATCCTACTGATCCCAAACACCTCAGAGACAATAAAAATGTGTACCAAACAGAAGCTGAGGTCTCAGGAGGATACAGCCACATGTCCTTTATGCTTTGTAAATTCATTTTCAATAGGTATCATTATGAGGAATATTTCATTTTACTGCCCACAGTCATGTAATACACTGTATTAGTCTTTTTGAGCAGATACCTACACTACTTCACCAGCTGCAATGAAAAGACAGCAAATGTTGCCTTGAAAGTCATGAATATTTCAGAGGCAGGTAATCTAAAACTTTTGGGGGGGATTTTTGAAGGAGACATCCAATCCACCATTGAAAGCCGCCACTGGGTTTGTAAATCTAATTAGGATATCTGATACTCCTGCACTGGACCGTATCTGATTACTGACACTAGATGACAGCATGTAAACACTAACATGACATTTTTTTTTGTTGTTCGCAAGTTAAAAGTCCAAGTTGGTATTTGCGTGGCGTCATAAATAATGCACGACAAAGACAAGCACCACTTGATATCAAACTGTGACATGTTTTATTTTGGGGATGCTACAGTACATCCTACTCTCCAAAGAAAGAATTGTACAGATATGACCACCATCCATTCACCATCCATTTTGTTTATTTTAAAGTCATCTTTATCACACTGGTCAAGACAAACAAACACTGGCAAATGCTGTGATTTAAAATCTGAAAATATATAAAGTTAATGTCATTTTAGTCACTGTAATTCTGATTTCAGGATGAGTGATGTACATTAAGGATCCAGGCAAGTGGAGGTCAACGCCACTCTGCTTGTATGGACAGTGGCTCCCTCATGTGGCCACAATGGGGAATAGCAAATCTAAAATCCCAAGACTTGCCTACAAGAAGGCAGAGAAGAGTAAAGAGCAGCTGCAGTGAAGGAGGGGATGTACTGGAAAGTTGATCATCACAACAAATACTGCTCTTGACATGACAGTGGCAGAAATCCTATACAAGTAAAGTATCTTATTCATGTAAAATACCAAAAGTTCAACTTGGACTGACAGAATAACACAAAACTTGCAGTCAAGTCTTAGAAACTGTAAACATAATGAAAACTCTACACTTGTCATTTAAAATAAACTACACAACATGGTAAGCATTATGGGCATTTCACAAAACATGCTTTTCTTCAAGTAAATATCTGATAGAGTTTGAGGTTGAGTCAGTGTATTTATCGGGCCCCTCCACCGTCAATCACTCGACTACTTTCCCAGCCAATTATCTGTGGGGCCCCAGCTGATTCAGACTTTATCTGCGAACTGTTTACGAATGTCCTATCACACACATTCTGCCGTGCCTGCGGAGGAACATGAAATGTTTCTGTAGGACCACCAGTGTTCAAAGCTACTGCAAGTCTTTTCAAGCTGGCTACACTTCTCTTCTCCTGTCTGGAAACACCTCTGCAGGTAGGACGTGCAGATTTTAAAACGGGGTATTCTGTTAAACCCATGTTTTTCACAGGGGATGTAGTGATTTCTGATAAAGGTGTGGCCAAGTTTGTAACAAAAAAGTTGAATATGTGTTTGGTTTAGGCAGGTTTCTGCAGGTTCAAGCCTGAATTCTTCTAGATGATATGTATGGATAGGTTTAAAACAATAATTTCTTTCTTAAACTTGTATCTACTATTTCAAATGTGTGGCATTTTATATTGAAACTCCTAAAATTTCTCAGGATAAACAAATATTGCTTGAGCGTGCTCTCTCTGGAATTTAGTAGCCCGCAAACTGGATGATTTGCAAAACGATTTCTCTATTGTTAATCTCTCTCATTCCTTCAGAATAGCTCACCAACCAGCCCATGTAAAGGATGATAGGAGACAAGCTGTTATTGCCCATAGTGCTGGTGTCTGTGCTGAGTTTACTGACACTACAGACATCGTATGGACAGCATCTGACAGAGGAGTCCTGCACTGTTCAGATCCTTGTCCCTGGACTCAAAGGCATGCCGTTCTACATATTCTCTTACACCATTCATCATAGATAGAAACCAAAAAATAGAATTTGTCTTCATATTTTTGTCTTATTTTTTCTGCCTTGTTGTGCAAAAGGAGAACCAGGGGAGAAAGGACTAAAAGGAGCACCGGGGCGCCCGGGAAGAGTCGGTCCTCCTGGAGAGATGGGTATAGAATATCTAGGTTTCTCAATGCAAACATTAGCCATGCACCCAGACTTGTACATCTTGCTAAGCTGTAACAAAAAAAAAAAAGGAGCTGGGGTAAAGTTCACATTGCTCAGGCTGATAATATGCTGTTACATCACTGCCAGGCCATGCAGAGATGGCCAAGTGTTTACATTTGGGTGAGAGGTTGGCGGAAAAATGATCTGAAGAATCCACGGCTGTGGACAAGTGTTTACTGAAGACCTTAATGAGGAGTGGAGGGTGGAGATTACACAGACACTGCATCCTAATAATATACTTACTCACTGGGAGTAATTTCCAGTATTTTCATCAGCTATAATTTGTGGAGAAATATTGTCTAACACCATGCATACTCTTTTCAGGTCAAACTGGGCTTAAAGGTCAGAAAGGCATAATGGGACGTTATGGAAAAGTGGGTCAGAGTGGAATGAAAGGTAATCGGAAAATGCAGAAATGTGCTTGCACTTGTTTGGCAATGAGGTCCGTATTGTTTGTGCTTTATGGATAATGCCATTTCATGTCTCAGGGGTAAAGGGAGACATGGGGGATCCAGGTCCAAGGGGCCCTAATGGAGACCCAGGTGAGATATTACAGCCCTAAGGCTAACTATGGTAGCACTGAAACAGAGCAACATGGCTTCAAAGTTTTTAGACTGTCCAGACAAATGTGTCATAGGTAGAAAAGTGGTAATGTGCTCATTAAATAGGTATTCGTAGGTAATAGGTATTCGACCTATGACCCCAAACATGCAGTAAAATTGTTTCTGTGCTTGGCATTCAAAGGGCAGATTACATTCTGTTATTCGGTTGGTCAAACTGATTATTGCCTTATTAGACAGACACATTTGGTGAAATTTGAGATGAATGTGTGGTAATCCTCCACATTTTTGTCTTATCAGGTGTTTCCTGTGAGTGCACACCCATGAGGAAGATGATCGGAGAGATGGACATTCTCGTGGCGCAGCTTTCGTCTGAACTGAAATTCATTAAGAATGGTATGATCTTAGCATTTCTTGTTTGCATCCCTGTCAGTTCTTGTCTATTGTTTCACCTGTTATCCTCATAGAACTGCAAATGCTGGGCATGTCAATGTGAAATTTATAGAAATACAAGTGCTCATTTTTCAGCACTGCCCTCCCCCGCAGCTGTTGCTGGCATAAAAGAGACAGACAGTAAGGTCTATCTGTTGGTGAAGGAGGAGAAGCGCTACTCGGATGCTGAGGCCTACTGTCAGACGAGGGGAGGGCACCTGGCCATGCCCAAGGATGAGGGAGCCAACGCAGCCATCGCAGGGTACATAACGGAAGCGGGCATGAACAGAGTCTACATTGGGATTAACGACCTGCAACATGAGGGTGTTTTCACCTACGTGGATCTCTCGCCCATGACCACTTTCAGCAAATGGAGGAAGGGGGAGCCCAACAACGCCTATGATGATGAGGACTGTGCTGAGATGGTGGCCTCTGGGGAATGGACTGATGTGGCCTGCCACCCCACCATGTATTTTGTTTGTGAATTTGACAAGGACAGTGTCTGAGTTCAGTCTGCCTATAGAGTGGGTAAATATGATGGGTTTGTGCTTCTATCTGTAAATAAGGTGACAAAATGACAAGCAAGTTGTGCAAACTGGTATATTTTCTACTTTCTTTTTACTTCTCCTCATAAGCCCATGAGCTATTTATTTTCTTAACTCACCAAACAGAGTTCTTGTTCTTTTGTGATACTTACTTTAGGTACACAGTTAATCTCATACTCTGTGATTCATTAGTGTTTCAAACAGCATGCCAGGCAATGCATTGTGTTTCTATGTTATGCAAACTATCCACGAAGCAACATTTGTAACAGGGCTATCAACAAATGAGACAAATAAGAAAATGTAGAGGGCTGTAGATTGTGCATAAAATATGAAATGAAAGAAAGATTTGGTTTCCAGTTGTTTGCTTTAATCAGAGAAATGGGATACGATAAGCATTTCATATCCATGTTCACATGATAAGTTATGTGGCGGTTGTTGTAAAATAAAACTCACTGATGATTTAAAAGATAAAGAATTAGTCTGTGCATTGTTTTTCTGCCCTGGAGCAAACTACACTTATCTGGTGCAGCAGCTGAACCATGTCCTGCAGTGTACAGCAGTCTCCATCTAGTGGATGGAAATGGTACTGCAATGTAACAAACACAATCACCCTGGGATGTAAAGTTAGTGACATTTACATTGAGGATGGCTCAGTTGCATAGAAGGATTATGGGACAGTGGGCCCCTGGGCAAAGAGATGCCAAGGGCCCCATCACCTCTCCTGCACTGCAGCAAAACACACAGACTTTGTGGTGGTTTTGTCTCTGTAGTCAAGTTTGTGTCTTCTTGTGGTTGTTTGGGTATCTTTTAGGGTTGGGGGGGGAGTTGATACAGCATAGTATCGCGATATTTTGTGTAGCAATATTGTATCGATACACAGACACTAAGTATTGATCTTTAATTATATACATTATTCACTAACAAAGACCACACCCATAAGATAAAGATTTCTAATGGCTTATTGCATATGATGGATTATGGGTTCGGAGGAAAGCGTGAAGGGATGAGGATCTAGGGATTAGAGAATAAAAGGATGAGGATGTAGGGATGAAGGAGGGCCAGATGGATGAAAGGTTCGGGATGACAGGATAAGGATCAAAGGATGAAGAGTGAGGAATGAAGGGATGAGGGTTGTTCCCGAACCTAGTTATAAAACTACATTTAATTTTTGCAAGTACACTCTTTAATACAACATTTGGCATTTGAGTCAGATGAACAGTCTGAAAACTTCTCTTATGACGTAAAACTGATGTTGACAAAGTTTTCTTTTGGGGAATTAATTTGCAGTTGGAAAAAAGGTAAGAAATTGTTATTATTTTTTATATATATTATCGCAATACTCAGTATAGCGCAATATTACAACCGTATCGTGACCTAAGTGTGATGATAATATTGTATAGTGGGTCCTCTGGCGATTTCCACCCCTAGTATCTTTTAGGTAATTTTGTGTCTTGGATTTTTTCGCATCTTTTGTAGTCATTTTGTGTCTCGCTGCAGTTCCTTTGCATCTCTTTGTGGTCTTTTTAGTCATTTTGTGGCATCTTGTGTCTGTTTGTAGTTGTTTGGGTCTTCTTTTTTAATCTAATTTTGTGTCTTATTGTGGTGATTTAGTGTCTATTTTAGTAAATTTTGTGTCTTTTTGGGTTGTTTTACATCTTTTGCAGTTCCTTTGCATCTCTTTGTGGTCTTGTTGTGTCTCTCTGTGGTCATTTTGAGTCCCTTTCCAGCCAGTACGTGTTAATTTCAGTGACATTTTGCAAGTGAAGGCAGGGGGGCACCCTGACATTTTTGGACCCCTGGGCCTGTGCCCGGTTGGCCGTTCAGTAACACATCCATGGTCAGTTTATTCAAGCATCCCAGTAAGCCATGATGCAACAGTGTGGCAACATGGACAATAACAGGACCCTGAAACTGAAAAAAATCATCCGTCAATAATTTGATTTTGTACATGTGCTTTTCCTGCTGTTAGATGTATTGTGTATAACGGCCTGTGCCCCTGTTTAAAGATGTCAACACATACTGTAGCAATCTATGCTAAAAAAATAACCTGTCTGTTATTTTTTAAGGGATATTTATTTAGACTGATTGATGGAGATTTTTCTATATCAACATTTCTTTTGCTGAAGTCCATCTTAAGCAATGGATTAAATGATGACATGGACTACACACATTATACTGAGTTAAATTAGTTCTGTCAGTTTGCAGTGACATGTGTATTATTTGAAAAAATAATGTATCCTCAAAACACAAGAGAGTTTATAATAATAATAAATTAATTACTCTTGGTAACAATGTGACAGCACAATATTGGCTGAATGACAAAAACAAGACATTACATACCTCAGGTTAATATGGCATTTTTATCTTTGAAAATCCTCTACGGTTTAGTCGTGTGATTAATAGAAGTTGTCTTACAGCCCTGCTTGCTATTGTTTTTAAGGTTGGGCATCCCAGCTGAGATGATATCCTATTGAGTCCCTCTAAGAAGAAGAAAATTTGAATATGCATGATGCAGTTCTCCTAATAAAGCACAGTTCGAGTCCCTTAAGAGATGAATAATTAATGCTGAGATGAATTATGCATTTAATTGACCACGAGTTGTCTGGCATAAACCAATTAGGTGCCATTGTTGGTGCAATCTCTGGTTACCTTTGTGGTAAACAATTTGGGCAGCTCTGTCTGACAGTCGACCGGCACTGGTGAAGAAATGGCCTGTAAATGGTAGATATGGCTACAGTGCATGGAAACGAGGACACACACCCTGCATCTGATGTTTTATCCACTTCTATATCCAACATAGGAATAAATCGTTCAAAATTAAGCAGCTAGACTTTTGACCGAAACAAAACCATCCTCACACATCACAGCTATTTTGGCTTCCCTGCACTGGCTTCCAGTCTCTTTCAGAAACCATTTTAAAGTTCTTTTAATCACATACAAGGCTCTCAACGATCTGGCACCAGAGTATATAACTGAGCCTCTCATACTGTGCCATCCAAGTCTGGGTCTTCAAACTGTTCCAGAGTCCAAATCAAAGACAAAGAGTGATCGAGCATTTTCAGTTCCTGCTCCTTGGCTCTGGAACAGCCTCCCACTGAGTATCAGATCAACTGACTGACTGAAGTTTGATACTTGACTCTATAAACCATTTTGTGTCTTTTTATAGTCATTTTGTGTCTCTGTAATTATTTTGTGTCTCTTTATTGTTGCTTTGCCCTTTCTTTGTTGTTATTTTGTCATAACTTTGCAGTTCCTTCACATCTCTGTGGTCTGTTTGTGTCTCTTATGGTCATTTTTGTCTCCTTGCGATTACTGTGTGTCCTTTTGTAGTTTGTGACTCTTTCAGGTTAACTTTTGTACTCAGTGGTACTTGTGTGCTACTTTGTTGTCATTTTGTGTCTCCTTGTGGTTTTGTTGTGTTTCTTTGTAGTTGTTTTGTGTGTCTATGGTTGTTTTGCCTGTTCTTTTTGTTATTTTGTGTTTCTTTGAGGTAATTTTGGTACTTTTTTGGGCATTGTCACTTTGTAGCCATAGTGTGTCTCCTTGCGGTTGTTTTGTGTCTTTTTGTAGTCATTTGGTTCTTTTAAAGGTAATTTTGTGTGACTTTGAGGTAATCTTGTGTCTTTTTTGGTTGTTTTGTGTTACATTGGATTCATATTTGGTTTCTTTGTAGTTATTTTGTGTCTCTTTGTGGCTGTTTTGCCCTTTTTTATTTGTAATTTTGTCATTACTTTACAGTTCCTTCACATCTGTGTGGTCTTTTTGCATCTCTTTGTGGTCAGTAAGCCTACTTACATTTGTGTCACTTTGAGGTAATTTTGTGTCTTTTTTATTTGTGTCTCTTTGTAGTCATTTTTGACTCCTTGTGGTTGTTTTGTGTCCTTTTGTAGTCATTTGTGTTTCCTTGTGGTTGTTTTGTGTCCTTTTGTAGTCGTTTGTGTCTCTCTTGGGTAATTTTGTGTACTCGTTGGTCTTTGTGTGCTACTTTGTTGTAATTTTGAGTCTCTTTGTGGTTGTGTTGTGTCTCTTTGTAGTCGTTTTTTGTCACTTTGTAGTCATTTTGTGTCTCTGTGGTTGTTTTGCCTGTTTTTGTTGTTATTATTTTGTGTTTCTTTGAGGTACTATTGGTACTTTTTTGGTCATTGTTTGTCACTCTATACCCACTTTGTGTCTCATTGTGGTTGTTTTCTGGCTTTTTGTAGTGTTTTGGTTCTTTTTAAAGTAATTTTGTGTCTTTTTTGGTTGTTTTGTGTCACTTTGTAGTCATTTTGTGTTTCTTTGTAGTTGTTCGGTGTCTCTTCATTGTTGCTTTGCCCTTTCTGTGTTGTTATCTCGTCAAAACTTTGCAGTTCCTTCACATCTCTGTCGTCTGTTTGTGTCACTTTGTGGTCATTCCAAGTGACATTTTGCAAGTGATGGCCAGGGGCCTCCCTGACATCTTGGGCCCCTGGGCCTGTGCCTGATATGTCAATTCACTAATCTATCCATGCCTATCTTTACAGACCATCTAACTATAAGTTTCACATGTACAGTACCTGTTGCTGGGTTCTGAGTCATTTACATGATTTATTAGTGTCTTCCAGCTATTGTGCGATTACAACCAAGAAGAAAAAAGAAAATAAGAAAAAAAAGACCATGTAATAGCCTACCTCTATGTGTGTTTGGTCAATAAATAAATAAATACATAAATAAATAAAATTACAAGAATAATACTGTATCATTTTGAAGTACTAAAACCCAAACCAATTTCACACAAAAATTGAAAAAAAAAAAAATACATAAAAATAAAATAACATGTCTAATATAGGGTAGATGTGATCTAACAACCCGTTGCCAAACAACAGATTAATTTTCCTTAGTGGTTGCCTTGGAAACGCTGAAGTTTTGGAAGTTACCGTTTCATACAAACGGAAACTAGCAAACAGCCGCAGCACAGCCGGGGGGATAGGTTTCTTAATGCTACACCTCTCAAGTGGAAGAATTGGTTTCCATATCAGATGCTATCTCCAGTTACGTCTCCGGAGGCTGCGGACACCTGCCACTGACACATTTTGACACCCAGCGCCATTACTGTTTGTTTGTTTGTTTTTCTGTTAGCTAACGTTCAGTCAGTATGCCGGGCACAGCAGGGAGAGGTGATTTGCCACCGACCAAGGCAATAACTGTCTACAGGAACGGAGACGCTTTCTTTCCCGGAAGAAAAATAGTGGTAAATTTGCGGCATTTGACGACCTTTGACCATCTGTTGACCTTCCTGACCAGACTGATCGAGGCTCCTTTCGGCGCCGTCAGAAGGCTGTACACTCCCAGAGAGGGCCACAGGGTTCAGCACCTGGACGACCTGAAGCACGGGAGTGTGTATGTTGCAGCCGGAAATGAGCAGTTCAAAAGGCTGGAGTAGGTACCAGTGCTGTAGGGTGTGTGTGAGTGTGTGTAGGAGGGTGTGTGGGTCATAGCAGGGAGGTCAGGTCACTGTAACCGAGGACGAGCTCCATCCTGGGTCATGAGAAGGTGCATTTATTTAAGCTAATGTTAGCTACATGGTCAGCAGGTGGGTTGTCTGTAATGTTTGATGGATATTTAGCTGGGTTTGTACTGCACAGTCCTTAAAATATGTCTTCATCACATTCTCAAGGGTTTCAATAGTTTACATTTACATATACATGTCTTAAATAAAGTCTAAATTTTGATTTGTAGTCTACTATTGAGGTGTAGTGTGCTGGTATACTTGTAGTCCTGTTAGCATGATGTCTAGAGCACTTTATATTTGATTCTCACCTGTAAAAGCAGTATTTTATATTAACTGGTATTATCAGGTCTAGAGATGTCTTCCATCTATCATCGTGGGCGGACTATGAGACAATGGGTAACCTGGGCAGAAATATGAACAGGGCTCCTCCACCTTTCCTAGACAGAAGCAAGACGCACAGACTTTGTGCTGGTTTTGTGTCTCTTTTTTGTGTCTTGTGGTTGTATTGTGTCTATTTGCAGTCATTTTGTGGACTTTCTGGTTGTTTTGTATCTTTTTGTAATCGTTTTGTGTCTCTTTGTAGTTATTTTGTGTCTCCTTGTCATAGTTTTGTGTCCATTTGTAGTTGTTTGTGTCTCTTTGTAGTTATATTGTGTCTCTTTTTGGTTGTTTTGTGTTTTTTTCTTTATCTGTGTCTCTTTGTAGTTATTTTGTGTCTCTTTGTCATAGTTTTGTGTCTTATGTAGCTGTTTGCATCCCTTTGAGGTAATTTTGTATACTATTTGGTTGTTAAGTGATGCTTTGTTGTCATTTTGTGTCTCAGTAGTTGCTTTGTCCATTTTTGTTGTCATTTTGTGTCTCAGAGATAATTTTGGGTACTTTGTGGTCATTGTCTGTCAGTCTGTAGCCAGTTTATGTCTTCTTGTGGTTATTTTGTGTGCTTTTTTTTGTAATTGTTTATTTTAAGGTAATTTTGTGTGTCTTTGAGGTCATTTTTTGTCTTTTTTTTGGTCATTTTGTGAGTCTTTGTAGTTATGTTTGTCTCTTTCTCATTGCCTTGCCCTTTTTGTTGTTATTTGTCATAACTTTACAATTCCTTCACATCTCCTTGTGGTCATTTTGAGTCTGTTCCTGATCGACAGACCTACTTGTTAATTTGAGTGACATTTTGCAAGTGATGGCCAGGTGGCTTCCTGATACTTTGGGTACCTGGGCCTGTGCACATTAGGCCCATTCAGTAATCCATCCATACCTATCTTTATAGACCATCTAACTGTAGGTTTCACATGTACAGTAACTGAGTCATTTACATGATTTTTTTATGTCTTCCAGCTATTGTGCGATAACAAACAAGAAGCCACAAACTAAGAAAAGAGAACAGGTAATACCACTTTGTGTGTTTCTTCAGATATACTTGATATGATTTAACAAAGTCTAACCTACATTTTCAGGTGCTTTATTACTTGTGACTATAATATGATATGGAGCCTTAGGAGGCTGCAGGTGGCTGAGGCCGAACATAACAATCCTGCTATCACTAGAGCTACACACAAAGTTGATCACTTGTCAACTATTAAATCAATCACCAACTAATTTGAAAACTGATTAATTGGTCTGAATATTTTTCTTTTAACCCTTTTAGATCACATCCCCAGTCAGATCTTAAAACGCTGTTTCATGAGGACTTTAAATGTGAATATTTTCTGGTTTCTTTACTCCTCTCTGACAATAAACCAAATACTTTTGAGTTGTGGACACATTTAAGACATTTAAGGACATCATCTTGGGCTTTGAGAAACACTAATCAACATTTTTCACCATTTTCTGACATTTTATAGACCAAACAACCAATCCATTATTCCATCTACAAACAGTGAAAATAATTGTTAGTTGCAGCCCCTAATTATCACATAACATCAGAGCTGGAGTCATACACTTAAAAATGCCTCCTTTCTTATTTTCCACCAGGTCATGTTCATTTTCTAACCCTTAGTTTTGACATTTTCAGATCCGACCTGTTGTTCACAGCAGAATACTAGTTTCTGCTCGCTGGAAGAGAACTGTGGATGAGTCCTGCACAATAAAGTGAGTGTTTATTTTAAGATACAAAGTCATCCTGAATGTAAAAAGGTTCATGTTTTTTTCCAGTTTACTTTTCAGCAATTAAATAATTGTTTGTATCATTCGTTTTCGTTGTGTTTCATAGTGTCTTGACCAATGGAGAAATCTTGGTTCCCCCAGCTCGAATACGCATCCCAAAGCATACTCTCAGAAGCTGGGAAAATGTTTTAGCCATGGTGACAGAGAAAGTGCGACTGCGCACTGGTGCTGTGTTCAGGTGATGTCCGACACCAGCACACTATGAACCCTTATAGTTTAGAATGTACCAGCGAGGGCAAGCAAAGGCATGTTCTTCATCGTGTTTTTTGATTAAATCAAACCAGTCAACCCATTTTTTAATCAAAAATGGTGTACATTGCAAGAATTTTAAGTTAACTAGTCACAATACTGAATCCTGTTTCTCTGCAGAATGTCAGCTTCTGTAATATAGATTGAGGGAAATATGATTAGTGGAGGCTTTCCAGTCCGTTTAAATGCAGCAACATTCAGCAGAGCAGAAGAATTTTTCTAATTAATTAGTGATTTAGACCATGTCAAGTTGTGATGGGCCCACAGGAGTTAATCCAAAACTGCTTGTTAGGCAAACACAGCTTTGATGAATTTTTAAAAAATGCGCTTACATTAAGTTTAACCACTCCAACAATATTTAAAACATCTGTGTCTCTTTTATTATCCAAAAACACTGATTGTTTAAGAATAATTGAAACAATCACAAAACATCGCTCCCATTTGTATGATCTCTCTGTTTGTGTGCCCAGGCTTTGCACGTTAGATGGACGTCCTCTCTCCGGCCCCAGTGAACTGGAGAACAACCAGTACTACGTCGCAGTTGGTGCAGACAAGTTTAAAGATCTCCCATATGATCGCTGCAGGCCCTACAGGGATTTAATTAGGGAAAACAACATCATCAAAGGGTATGACACCTGTGATTTCAAGTAAGTTGTTATATTCTAAATAAACACTGGATTCTATTCTGATGTGAAAGTGAAAGAGAAAATGTGTCAATTTTGGTTTCCCCTTATATGCCCTGCAGCCAAGACATCCTGCCTGCTATTAGAAAGACAAGACATCCAAAGGATGCGGTGAGTACTATCGCTTCAGAGTTGGCTGCAGTTTGCCATCTGGTTGTTCACTTTCTTGCGACATGCTCAATTGTTGTTATTTTTTTTTTTTCTCAGATTCCCTCTGGTTTATTGCCGTAACACCTTGGTACTATCACAGTCGAGAAGCGTGTCTTTGCACACACAGCATTTCAATTAACATTTCCCACGTGTGAGACTTGTTGTGGGGGTGCAATTCGTTATGAAACAGCGCTATCATCAATCACTGTCTGCGGGAGGCATTGAGTTACCTTTGCTTTCCACTTTGATGGGTAATCCCCACAGAGAAAGGCTGGCCCACTTGATCAAGTGCAGTGAGCCTCATAGACAGATCATATGCACCAGGGGGACTTCACCGACTGAAAACAAAAAAAAAAAAAAAGAAATCTCTTATTCAAACCAGAACCGGGACAATTTGTATTGTGATTAAGTAGACAGTGAAGTGCTTTGAATCCATATGAGGATTGCACTGCTGTGGGCCTGAGATGAACACCAAATCACACGGTGAAGATGAGAACATGCCCACTCAGCAAGTTGAGGTGGAGATGGGGGGGCCCCTGTGAGAGATGTGTCTGACATCTGATTTTTCTAACCATGAAAGATGACAATGCTGTGGCAGATGCCAATTTTTTTCAGATGGAGAAAAATGCCCCGTGCCTTATCTGTGGTGGACCGCCATTATATTCAGAAATATGATGAATATTTATTAGTAATATATTAGAATATGTTAAGATTTCTTCATCTTATTCAAATGTGTCCAATCATAAAATAATATATGGAGACCACACTGCTCTGTTATCAAACTTTGCTTAACTGAAACTCAGTCTTTAGGTTGGAATATCTGAATCAACACTGCTCAGATCATAGCATGTGCCATTCAACTTAAGACCATGAGGTGGAGACAGAGACAGAGCCATGGCTTTGTTTTGCATCCACCAGCTCATTGTAGTATTAGTCATTCAATGGACATGATGCTGCCGCATTTTACTCCCTCTGCCTCCACGTCTGAACCCTCATGAATTTGTAAACATGATTTGACCAGTTAATAAGGACCTTTCAGAGAGGAAAGAAACATGTGACAAAAATTGCCCACTCTGTCTTGATCTGTCACCTGTTTAGCTTACTGATTACACATACATTTATAGGGTCATGTCCGTCATTAATTTCAGTTTGACCTCACAAAACAACAGCAGTCTGGTTTGAAATGCCTGTAAAAAGATCCTTTAAACATGCCCACTGAGGCTGTGTAAAATGTAACCTTGCTCTCGCAACCTCCCCCTGTATGGGATCACTGTCTGTCCTGTCCTGTCTGCACCAGGCTGCGGAGTGTTTCTGCGTCGCTGACTGGGACATCTGGTCTGGAGCAACCACTGAAGTCTAAACTGACGGCTCTGCAGAGTGTAATATTGAATCTCTCCAGCACACCATGTTCCCATCGGGAGCGAGCATATATGCTGAGTTAGGTGTTCGCAGACATGATGAGGTAGAAACTTTTGAGGTAGACGTCGCATAAAGAAAAGATTAATAGGGGGGAGAGAGGAATGCAAAGGGAAAGAGAGAATAATGATGTGCATCAAAGCAAAGTACTTTTTGTATGATAGTGATAATAATGAGCGGTGCAATTGTGCTTCACATGTACTTCACACGGAGCATCCTGTGAAAACAGCCCAGAAAGGCTGACTAAACCTTTAATAGCTGCACTCCCTGACATCAGCGATTACTTGCTGCCGCTCTCCATTTCTCTGCTGTTTCTGGATGATGTCATTGGTGAGGGGAAGTAGCAATGCCCCGTGGAAAACTATACCTCCTGGCTGCTGCCAGCATGTCTGCTCGCTGAGGACCCGGCCCAGGGAGTGGCTCCGACTGATACCACAGCCAGCGTGGCTGGAGGCTGCTTGGTCCAATTGGTTGGGACCCCCGTTTTCCCCTGGCTATCATATCACAGTGTCCTCTTGTTGACTCCTGTTCTCTGCCACTTGAGAGGGCCACAGATTATTTGCTGCTTGGTCCCCCTGAGCCCCCTTCACACTAACTCCAGCGCTCTCTCTCTCCTGGTCTCTCTTTCTCTGGGGCCTCCTGATACACACAGTTGTCTGCTCCCACAGGACATGGTACTGTAGATATGTAATGCAGAACGAGAGGAGAGATGACCTCAGCTTTTCCACAGCCGTGTTTCCAGTTGCGCTGCTACTTGTACTGTACTCTCCTGGCTCTGCGGCGCCCCTCGTCCTCTGCTTTCCGCTCCCAGAGTGAGACCGTCTTGATTTAACTTTGTTGATTTAAATAAGATCTATTTACATATCACCACCAGGCTGTAAACACAGAAAACAAGCTGTTCAATTTTTGATTGCCCAGATGTATTTGGATTTTGAACTTTTCGGTGACGTTTCCTCACATCACTCACAGACGAATTAATGTTACAGAAATTAGCAGCTTACCACTGCGACAGCGCCACCGCTCCCCCCGTCTTTGATCTGGTGCGGTTGTGTGGACACTGCAGCGATAAGAGTGTGAACTCTGTTTCAACTCTCCTTTCGCTGAATATACCAGGCAAACTTCACTCTTCTTTTGTTGTTTTATTTTTCTCCCTCGGCCCACCAACGGCTGTAGAAATTCAAAAGAATATCAACAGACTTTGCCTCTGCATTAAAGAAAGCAAACAAGTGAAGAAACAACACTGCCGTTCCCCAGAGGCCATGTTAGTGAGCTTGCAAACACCATTGCCAGAAGTGTATTCTGGTGGAGGCCTGAGATCACTACACTATCCCCGGAGCCAGCCCAGGGATCCAGCCAGGCAGCTGCAGTAAAGAGCACTGTAGCTGAAAAGAAACATTAAGTCTGCTCTATCCCGCTCTCTGTGTCTGTGTCTCTCATTCTCTGTGAGGGAGACATACCTCACCTTGCTACCTACAGAGGGGATGAGGAGCCTGTGAGGAGAAAATTGCCTTTTGTGGAAGCATTAATTCAGATGTGTACCCTGCTGTCTGAACATCACTCTGAACTCTCCCCACTGCTCTGTCTCTCTTTTTCTCTCACTTTCCTCCCTCGCTCCTTCACTCTCCCACCATGCAACTAAGTCCCAAGCCTCCCTTTTTTTCTCTCTCCCTCTCCATCAATAACCTTCTGCTGTCTACTGCTGAAGAATAAGTTATTCCCTGCGACTCCCTCCCTTTCCCTTTAAGCTTGTTTGGATTTTCATTGTTTGATCTGGCTTGATAAATAAGACAAATGCAGTTAGAAATTCATGGCTGCCCCATTTCATCAATAAATGATTAGTTTGCCACGCTCCCTAGTGATTGATAGGTTGTGCACGGGATGTATTGGAACCAGATGAATTCAATACAGTAGGAGTCACGGGGGAGCTACAAAGCATATCAGCTCATGAAAAATTGAGGCCAATGGAAAATGTAAAAAAGCGTTGAAAAGAGGGGAGAAACAAGTTTTGCCCCGATGCGTTTTGTCTTTTTTCTTCTTCTTCTTCCTCTTTACAAAACAACAGCAAAAAGTCGATGATGAATCACAGAGAAATCTGAGGAAATACGCCTTAATCTGTGCCCCTGTTTTCTCCTCTCTTTTGTCTCTTCATGTAGTTTGCTCACACAGGCTTTAGAGAGGACCTTGAGCACACAGCCAGGGGCCAGATGAAGAAACAAGCCAAACCGGAGAGAACCAAACAACAGAGGCAGGTGTCCAGAAACCCAGTTCTCTTCTCGACAGGGGGTAAGCAGAGCAATTCTATAGAAATATCTTTCTCCATGTCTCTCTCTCTCTCCAGCCCCCCTGTCCTCAGAGCATTTTTTTTTCTCCCTCCAACACCTCCTTTCTCACCAATAATAAGAATCCTGTTTGCTTATATGTATATGTGTTACTGTACAGTACTCCTTTGCATATGTAGGGTTACATTTGGGCACACATGTAGGCATATATACTGTTATACATTCTTCTGTGTGTATGTGAGGAGATATGTGTGTGTTGGGGACATAAAAAAAACATTTGGCAGGTGAAGGAGCTTCCTTTGGATTCTCAGCCTGTTCTTTTTAAGTCCAAACAGAAGCCAGCTCCCTGCTCTTTTGAAAGAAACACCAGTCTTTTTCTGTGAATATTAAACAGAACAAGACTTCAAACACCGTCGAGGGGGCTTAAATCATAGATGAATTCAATCAGGCCATTTTGTTGAATATGTATCCAGAAAGCCTTGTTAACTATGTGGGGGGAAAACAAAATGCTCTAATTTTCTGCCGATGCGGGGATCAAAATGGTAATAAGTTATTAATTGCAAATACCGCTGACGAAAGAATCATAAAAGTGACAAAATACTCCTTTAAATTGATGGGCTTGAGCATTGTGGCAGTTGCGCTGTTTGAGAGCGATACTGTGTTTATCATTAATACACAGTAATTGTGTGTTTGCTTCCTCTATCCAATTATTCAGTTGTTGTTTTCATGGGTGTTTGTTTTACCATCTGTGCACAGTAGTACAGTGCCTTGACTTGAAAGTCTTATCCTGTATTGTATCATATACAACATGGATAGGCTAACTGTCACAAATTAAACCTGCCATCCTTTCGTATCCTTCCATCCATCTATTTTCATCTGCTTATCCAGCCTGGTCGCAGGGCAGCAAGCTTAGCAAAGTATTCCAGATGTCCCTCTACCCAGCAGTGTCTTCCAGCTCCTCCTGGGGGATCCCAAGGTGTTCCCAGGCTAGGTGAGATATACAATCTCTACAGATTGTATACAGCATGCCCTGGGGGGCCTCCTACCTGTGGGACTTGCCCAGAAAACCTCTAATGAGGGTCGCCCAGGAGGCCTCCTGATCAGATGCCCAGACCAGCTTAACTGGCTCCTTTCAATGCGAAGGAGCAGCGGCTCTACCCCGAGCTCCCTCCATATGTCGTAACTATCCTTATCTTTAAGGCTGAGCCCAGGCAAACTATGGAGGATACTTACTGCAGCCGCTTGTGTCCGCAATCTCAGTCACTACCTAAAGACTGTGGCCATAGGTGAAGGTTGGAATGTAGATGTGTTGGTAAATCCCTTGTGACCACTATGGTCTGGTGTAACGCCTGCATGACTGCTGACACTGCACCAACTCACGCCATCTCATGCTCCATTTTAACCTCACGTGTCAACAAGAGCGTCAAGATACTAGGGATGTTCCTGGCGACTAATTTCCCAGTCTAAAAAAGGAAAACACTCAGAAAACAGTCAAAATTTAGCACAATTCATTGTTAAGTATTCAAGACATTGTCCCAAAAATATTGTGTGCTCTAAGAGCCCTTTGAAGCCTTTAATCACAGTCTTCAACAAACGTGTCTGATTTTAAATGCCGCTGAAGTACAAGACACTTTGCGCTGTGCGGTATGAATATGAACATGACGGCAACTCAGTCAAAAGTTAATCACTAAAATACCTTGTTTTCATTTTCTAGATCAAAGTTCTGCCAAAACACAACGCTGGTTTTGCGAGAGGACATCTCTCCAATTTCTGACCATGCTGTTTTAAAACTCCAGTCGACTCGAGCATTACCACGGGGAGGGTGACAGCTTACTGACAGCTCTGTAGCACTCACTAGTGGCAGGCGGCTGCATGACAGTTAAGCAGCCTTGTACATGAGTAAAACACTAATTGGTTTAATCGACTGAGGGGGTGGACGTTTAATTGTTTAGACGTCTAATCATGTGCATCCCTACAAGATACTCCTTCACTTGGGGCGGTTACTCACTCCCTACCCAGATGGGGCAATCCACTGTTTGTTAGAACAAGATAGCTGACATTATTAAATAGAAGTGACTATTTGACTCTTATTGTGCCCATGATGATGCTGTTGTTTGCAGCCACACATATTGGACAATTGATCATACCTATAGTAACGGTTTTGGCCCACAAAACCCTTCACTAAAGGCCTTAGAGTTAGAAATCTGAAATTCACAAGTCTTCAAATCACCTCTTTGAACCCAACCGCTCTGAGGGTTCACAAGCATCATCTGGTACACGATCAGCTTTTGGCACCAGCTTTCTTCCATCATTCTGCCTTTTCTTAACTAGTGTGAGTTTAGAAAGAGATCCAAAAGTGTAATGCCTGACTGAAAAACATAATGAACTCTACATGTTTTGAAGCTGCATAATTGCCTCTTTGAGCTATTAACCATACATGTTTCTATACATTGTTCCTTTGTCTTATCACTGATTAATCTACCGTGCTTTGTTATTTATTATTTAAATGAAATTACTTAAGGCTGTTGAAGTAGATTCAAGCTCAATAGTGTGTTTAATTATTCACATCCCACCCCGTCCAGCAGCCAGAGACAAAAAAAAAGGAGTTTGTTTACAAGGAAAAACAGTGTGACGTTGCCATATAAGCTATTCCCCACATGCATCAGCAGCAACCTGTCACTGTCAGGAACTAACCCTTGGAACTGAAAGTTCACGCTGGCCGGCCATATTCGTGGCAGGGCAGCTGTGGCTTTCAGTGGCCCTTTCGTCTGTGGGACCACTCTAAATAAATAAATGGCTTGACAGCGACATTGATCTCTTGTGAAGTTGAACAGGAGAGGCAAAGGGAGAGAGGGCAGTGAGGGATGGAGGGGTGTAGAGAAGGGAGAGAATGAGTGTGCAGAAGAATGAGACGGTGGCTGCCAGCCGATGAGGTAATTGTGATTAATCACTTTTCTCAGAGGGCAGCGTGTTCAATGCGCAAAACAAAAGGAGTGAGATGGCAGGAGCGGCGGAGGTGCAGGAAGACGGCCAGTTGAAGGTGGACCTGCCTATTGATCAGGTGAAGCACAACTCCATACTGCAGTGCAACCTGATGAGGTCTTTAGCATACAGCCTTTGAACTGCTTGGTCCTACAGTATTTATCTGACAGGAAGTAAGAATTCATTCCAGTCTAAAAACACTATTATCAACATCACTATAGATAAAAAAATGCCACCTGACCATGTGCTGGGTCCATTTTAGTTCAGTATATGCTACTAAATGAGCTCATCTTAATTTTAGAGCTTAATGACAGTGAAGACAAACATAAATATTAAACAAGCTTAGTTGGGTTATATGGATAAGTGTCTGCAGCTGTAGCATCCTAGCCCCATTTTCCTCTTATTAAACTTGAACCTTTCTGTGTTTTTCAGCTTCAAAAAGAATCAAGAATACACTTCTAGTACAGCAGAACATTTTCTGCCCAGAATAAGACCCATGAATGCTCAGTAGAACAAGTTGCATAAATATATAAATATTTAGCAAAATCAATACGGCAGCACAGTACAGTGTAAGCCAAGGGGGATCTTGTTTTCTCCCTCCCTGCAGGTCGAGGCCAAGATAGTTGACGAGGAGTACGAGGATGGGAGTTGTTCTGCGAGTCCCTGCAAGGCCTCCCTCCATGATTCAGACAGTTTGTGTCTGCAGAGGTCTTTGTCTGCAGGTTCCAGGAAGGATGTAAGTACCCTTATTATGAGCTGCATGTAGTTCCTATTTCATGTTTAGTTCATTTTTACTTTATTATTATGTCCAATTGTTTCATTTGCTTTGGGATTAGGTCATAAAAATGGTCTAACCAGCAATTATGGTGATCACCATTTCCATAATTGCAAGAGCGCCACGTAGATGTGCTTCCAGCAGCTATACTTTTGTCTCATTTGTGTGCAAGTTGTTTTTCTGTCTTTATGGTGCTCTCTGTGCATTGCATACTGTGCATTTACCACAAGGAGACACAGGATTACAGACACCTGAGCCCCAGGTGCAACTTTACAGTATGTTGTATTATAGAGTTTATAGAGCTCAGCTGTAGCCACAGATACTGCAGCATCAAGCTTAGGAAATACACAGAAGTGTGCATTTGTGATTAGACCAGAGCCTCATAACAGCATGTGGCTGCATTTGATGTCTGCCCTTTACTCTGGTGATTGTGTGCGTTCGCAGTGATGAAGTAGGCCTGAGCTGTGTATACAGATGTTTTTGCATGGATCCGTGGTTCCTAGAAATTACACTCATTTAAATACACTTATTTTTGCTCTAATAATCCTCGAGGGACGGCAATATGAAGCAGTGTAACTGTGATGAATGCGCACAATAGTTGGGTGATATTACTATTCCGAGCAATTTCATTCGGCTTTGAAATGAGAAGATATTGAGTCTTATTTAAGCAATCAATAACCTTGAACATTTTGTTTTAATGAAAACTATAATTTCAAGCAGTGGCAATTACACCATAGGGGAATGTTTTGGTGTGGTGATGGTTATGCTGCCGTATGCACTTTTGTAATAAAGATATTCTTATCGGGGTAATTATTGACTTCTTGGGGCCAGTTATGACCCCGGCTAAAGACCTCATCAATAGCTTAATTCATTGCTTATCACTTTTAGTCATACAGGAATGTTGCTGATTCAGATTGGCTATAGATTGCAGGGAGAGACCATTAGATAATGGAAAATAATAATAATAATCCCTGGTATGAGCTCAGCTACTTTTTTTGCAATGATCATCTCGCCAAGCAGTTTTTAGATTTGACACTTAACAAAGACTGACATAAGAAGAAGGTAGGTAGAATTGTGTCCTCACTAAATTCAAGGATGTAATCTAACCCTAAACTATGGAAAGTTGCAGCAGATTTTAAAGGAAAGCCTTGATCACAACACCTACTTTACCAAAATTTCACTTTGCATAAGAATGAGGCGGTTGTATATTCATAGAAGTTGTCATCAAAACAGAATTAACAATGCTGCAGGTGAGACTTACCGAATTTAAAATATAACACCATTGATGCATGCTCTCCTATTTTCCCTCTGAGGCCAAACAGGATGTCGCTGTCTCGTTGTCAGCAACCTCATCATTTAAAGGGCTGTGAATAATAACGAGGGATAACTGCACCGCTATGACTCATACTTTGAGCCGAGTTCGGACAGATTTCCTTCCACTCCGGCGCCCCATACGTGCTCGCGAAATGCCCCGTGCACTCGCTATATGTGCATGTATATAGTAGATATTGATGACCAAATTCAATTACATGATTACATTTTCAGCCGAAGCTTTAAATGATTTATTGCATTGAATTTAAATAGTGAATACATTTACAGACAGCACACCGGTGAGGCAGTCGTGTGCGCGCGTGATATTGACCTGTGCGGTCCAGGCCAAATAAAGAATAACGAGATTCAGCATCTCTGCCAAGTGGAGATGTCCGCTGGGAGTGAAGGCAGGCTATCTCAGTGGAAGAGAGCGAAGGATGGCGGGCTGGAGCCTGATGCACATTTATCAAAGCTTTTCTTATAATCACTTGACTGACTTTTGTTGGGCTTTCTGAAGGTTGGGTTTTCCTTTAGAGTGCACTCTGTTAAGGAGTTGATTGATTTCATGAGGGGGGACTCTGTCTATGTTGTGGATGTCATACACTTTGAGGAAATGTGGACAAGGGTAGATTTGTGCTCACCGGTTCGGCATTGTGTTTACAACTATCATTTGTTTTGATTTAACAATATTGGCTGATTTATCAACCAGTGAGCTAGGCATTTTTTCTTAATTAATATTGTTAGAAATGCCAATACGACTAGGGATGTTTGATCAATTGTCTTCCTCTTCTTAAGAATTTTGTGATAAAAAATCGAATCATTATTGAGCGCCGCATTGATCCATTCCTTTCCTTTTCCAATGCCAGTCCATTTCATTTGTCTTTCAGCTGTTTTTCCATGCTCCTATTCCACGGAGCTTAGGTTAGCCATTTCAAAGGCCTTATTCTCCCCATGCAAGGTCAACTATAATCAACTGGAGACAATGTCACCGCCTTGCATTTCCAGAGAGAGAGGCAGAGGAAGACGACTCCTCTGGGCTTTTAAGGACCCACTGCATTATACCATTCAATTACTGTTCATTAGACAGTGTACAGCCATTAATCAGACTGAGATGTTCTGCTAGTCCTCAGCGGGGACAATGAACTGGGGAAATTTATTCTGGTTTCCTGTCTGGGCCGCTGTTTAGTGGCAAGGAGAGAGATGACACTTTGGAATGCGCTGAAGCTTTCAGTACAGAGACATCCTAAACTGAGCCGCTACTCAAGTATCTGTGTCTTCTTTCAAGCGAAGTTCTCTGCTTCATGCAGCCTTGTCTTTGAATTTTTAAGAAACATGGGCTTTGTCAGAGATTTATTGCATATGTGGGAGAGTATTACGAATCTGATATATCACTAAAAGGAGAGATAGCTGACAGATTTACCGATTAGAGCTGCATATGCATTGAATATGACTAGATGATGATATGAGAAACTGATTTATGTTTTCCAGGAGGCTAAAGGCTGGGGTGTGTGTTCCAGGTTCCGCAGAATGCGATCACGGGTGTCCCAGTTTTTCAAGGGTAGGTTCATCAAAGCATAAAGCCTGGTAGTAGCTCACTGGCAGCAGTGGCGGCGGCCCCCACGTTCCCCTCCAAAGCACCTAATGCACCCATAAAGAGACCACTAATACACTCTGCATTACCAGTTCCTCCCTCACATTGCATGTCACCGGATCTGCAACCACCTCTCAACATCTGGGAGAGCTTTACGCCATGCTTTATGGAGACCATCTGGTTGAGTGGGTTTTTTTGCCTCCCCAATCTCAGATGACTTATTCTAGTATTAAAGACACCTGCGCATCAAGGTGTGCCATGCTGAGAGCCTGGGATTATTCACTACGCTTTATATTTCCCATGTCGTTTGTAATTTGGAACCACTCAGACAGAATGAGAGGGATATGTACCTTGTTACTATGAAAATCCATTTTTTCCCTCCCTGACTTCTTATTTGAAGTAGAATTGCATGGTCTGACTTTTATTTGATTGATCTAGAGAAGAACACATCTGACAAAATACAAAATAAGTGTTAGACACATTTGATTATGGTGGGGGGGAGATAACATAGCGTTAAAACACAAACCAAAGCAATGATGTGAGCTCGACATTCTCTTTTGTTGGGGGAATATGCCTTTCAGCTGGATCGGGCAATTTCATTGTAATTGCCTACAAAACACAGGGTTTGGTAGTGAGGCATCCTCAATTGTTCCTTGTGAAAATTCCAAAGCTGGCTAAATGGAACGGGATGTGAATCCCTGCACGTGGTTATCACTGTCTGCCCTTCAATCTGAGGTTTGCCCTGTCAGTGTGACACCGGGAAAATGACTGCATCCTGCACTAACAGCAGGCTCCCTACCTCTCTCACGTGTCATTCACGCTATCATAAAAGTACACAAATACATGTGCAGGCACATATGCGCAGAGTTACCTAACAGACAGCACTTCACAGCAAGTGTTTTTTTATACACATGTGCATGATTTTTATGTATGTACATGTATTCTCTTTCAATTATCCTTATATTGATAGTACTAGAGGTTGAGATGCAGCTTTATACAATCTAGCACTGGCTCTGATTTCCCTGCAGAATATCAATGGACACTGCAGGGGGCATTTGAAATAAATCACAGCACATTATTGCTTGCAGACTCCAGGCCCACATACTCGTTTTTCTGTCCCAATCACATTATATTGTTGTTGCTGTTTATGAATGGTTCTGCATCATTCATGCCTCACATTCCCTAGCTGTCACAGTGGATCTGCAGATGACACAGATGCAAAGCTTAACGGGAGACTCAGAGCTGTAGAAGAAGGGAAGTGGGATGTGAAAGGAAATGCAAGCGATCTCTAACAGAATCAAACCTGCCTGCCACCTGCTTTGCATCAAAATGTCAATATCTGGGACAGTTTTTATCCTTGAAAGGAATTTGTCAGCTGAGTGAAAAAAGGAAGGCTTTTTTTTTTTTAAAGCAAATCTACCATTAAAGTACTTCCCTTGCCCCCTTCATATACTTTACCAGGGGTATTCCATCTTGACTTCCACGCATAACAGCCAGAGATACCACTGGGTTCAGTTTGGCTGAGATTCTCCTTCAAAAGTTATTGGCACCATGTACAATGGCCTTGTAATTTACGAGAACTGTTAGGGCCTCTGACAGAAGTTGTAAAGCATCTTGACTGATTGGGTAGATATGAGATGTGTGCAGTCATGGCACATCGTCGCCTATATGTGCGCAAGACACGCAGAGAGTTGCACGGCTTGCTCTGTCACAGATAAATTACTCAGCACAGTCAAATTAAGTTGTTGTAAATCACCCTGCGGACCCGAGACTAGTCCTGAGTGACGACCTTTACGCCTATTTGACTTTAAGTCTTATTTATGTTAATCACATCTGTATTATACCGACAGTAAAACTGTGTCATATCCTAAAAGGTCATTGTTTTGCAGAGCAGCATACGACAGGGACAGAAAAACACACGGGGTTTGTTTGTTACTGAGTGTAAGAAGTGTTGAGAGGATGGTGTGACTCTCAGTGTTTACATTTTTTTTTTAATCTTTTCTTTTTTGCAGGGAACATGAAACCTTAACATTCATTGCTTTGTTCTGCATGACATCTTTCTGAAGGTATGTTCTATTACAAATAATATAATAAAAGATCTCATTGATTTAAAGGTATACAATGCAGGATTTTTCTAAAAAAAAAAAAAAACAAAAAAAACAATGCATGAACTCATATGTGTTAGGGACGTTCCTGGCCACAGCGTGCAGCTGAGGTCGGGACTTTATAAAACCAGGGTGTCTGCAGGTCCTTAAAAAGTCTTAAAATGCATTACATTCAGTGTTACAACAATAAGGCCTTAAAAGTCATTAAATAGTCCTAAATTTAAATTTGTGAGGTCTTAACTGAGACAAACATTTCACCTAATCCACATTTCTAATGTTACAAAACTTTAAAAGCTATAATACTATCATTGTACGTAATACTTATCTAACTTACTAACACTTATCTGTTGACAAAATGTCGATCAGCTTAACTCACTCTAATAACCATATTCCTACATAACACTTACCTCTGCAGACATAGGCTATGTACTACTACCCTGCAAGTAAAACATGATCTGTCCAAAAATTTGTCCTAAATTTGGTTAAAAGGTGTCTTGAAAGGGACTTAAAAGCATTGAATTGAACTGTCTGATAGCTGTAGACACCCTGAACATGGTAGCAATCAGCAGGCTTCTCAGAGAAAGCTACAAAAATCACAGACACAACCTAAAAAAATGGCAAAAATATAGCAAGTCGAAATGCCAAGTGAAGTGAATCTGCGGTTGCTTTTCACTTAACCTTTTGGTGGCGATACTGTTCACAAACAGTAACCGACAATCCCTGCATAGTGTACCTTTAAGTCTTAAAATTAAATAAATTCAGTGTCACAGCAATAAGGTCCTAAAAGCCACTGAATAGGTTTAAATTTGAATTTCTGAGGTCTTAACTGCTATAAATATTTTATCTAATTTCACTGATACATCTTTCAATGTATTTTTATGAAAATGAGAGAAGATATTTTTACATAAAAGTCCACATTTCTAATGTTACAAACCTTTAAAATACTATAATACTGCCATTTTACCTCATACTTTCACTTACCTGTTGGCAAAATGTAGACTGACTTCACTAATTGGCTATGTACTGTTTACCTGCAATGCTTACCTGCAATGCTCAGATAAGTGAAACATATTTTGTCCAAAAATCTGTCCTGAATTTGGTTAAAAGGTGTCTTGAAAGGGTATTAAAAAGTATTGAATTCAACTATCTGATACCTGTGTACCCATGAAGTGGTATCAGTCACATGCCAGACTGTAAGCAGCAGGCATCTCAGAGGAAGCTACGAAAATTGCGCGCACAGCCTAAAAAAATTGCAAAAGTATAGCGAGTTGAAAATGAAGTGAAATGAATCTGGGGTTGCCTTTCACTTTTGCTTTTCTTGGCCACACTATTGACAAACGATAACCGGCAGTCCCTGCATAGTGTACCTTTAACTTGTGATCTCAAATGCATGACGCACAATGCAGAGTGTAGTAGGGCTCCATACAGAGCACAGCAGTGTTCAGGAACCATATGGGGATACAGCATGTGCCATGTTATTAGTATAACAACTTGTGAGCAGTACAGATGCTTGGTGTGGATATTAAGTGCTTCTGAAATCCCTCCACAAAGAGCTCTGTGGTATTTACAACACTAAAGTAATCACGTGTGCTGTGGATGTTAGTCCTCTACAGTACGTCTTATGATACAGAATACATATTTATCCTCTGCTTCATTCACCCATCCTCGTGGAGCATACAGTATCCTTGGGGATGGCTTCGCTGAGGGAGAATGAAAGCCTTCGTTAACTACAGTAAAGTTGGAGGAAAATGTATGCTTTTCTTCTCATTCATCATATACATGTCATGAAAGGGCCTTCAAAAGACAGCAGCTCCCAACAGCAATAAGTTTCTTCTTCTTTCTTTTTTCTTTTTTACATGTACATGGTGAGAAATAATAAGTTCTCAAAGAGCGTATGTTGAAGCCATTGTGATGTGAGAGAGGCGTCTGCGTGTGATCTCCGCTGCACTCGACACGACAGGCTCTGTGAAGTGCACCACTGCCCAGTTACACATTAGCTTTGATTGCCAGTTTGTTCTGCGCGTAGCCCGTATAGCTTTGAACTGCATCTCAAGATGAAAGCCAACCTTGTCCACATAGTGTGTCCACTGTGGACTGCTGCTGTTGCTTATTTGCTTCAGGCACCATCAAGGGCTTCGGGACTTCATTTTTTTTCCTATAGTTCTTTACCATGCTGGGATGAGCATTATGTATAATTTATCATACAATACATCCCGAGACAGCACCTCGTCCCGACTCCATTTTGATTTAATGCCTCTTCTTTCTTACTGCATCTTGTGTTGACTGTGGTCAATGTATGATCCCACTAAGGTACGTCTTTGTTGTGTCCTGCAGATAGACTTTGATATTAGTGGTTCCCATGGTGAACGCGTCACCACTCAGTGCTTATCTCCCTCTCTTTCTCTCCTCCTCCTCTTCCGAGCTGCAGAACACAGTGTCAGACTGCTAAAGACCAGACGTCCTCGTTCTCTTCCGTCTCCAGAAGCCAGCTGCTCATGTATAAGATGAAACAGTGTTATAAACCAAATAAAAATGTCTTGCCTCTTGACAGCCCCACCGTGAATATATGGCCTCTTATTTCAGTGAATATATTGCATAATTATGTATGGTTATGAATATTACATGGAGCCTCACACTGAGTGCATGGTAAGATGCCTAATTGCGGAGTTTAATTATTAAGAAGCAAAGGTCCTGAGCGGGTTTTGTGAGAAGCACTTTTGATAAATTATTTTTTGCAGTTTTCTGATGAATTATTTTGGGGGCTTGTGTCTAATCAGCAGGCATAGTGGAAGGCGTAACTGCTCTTGAGAGAGACTTATCTTCCCATGGAGAGGAATTACTATGCTGATTAAATCCACTGAAATCAACTAATAACTTAATGATATTGGAGTGGATCAAAAGAATGAATCATCGCCTCTCATAGTGGCGGCTATGAAGAACACAAGGGCACAGTGATGGGTGGAATGAGGGCTGTTGCCATTGACCTCGGGGCACAGCTTTAATATTTCTGTGTAACATGAGGGAGCGACGGAGAGCGTGTGTGATGGTATGTACTAAAGCAAACCAAAGCACCTCATATTAAACACAGTGTAGTTGCGCTTTACTTTATACTTCATATGAAGCACTTCAAGGAAAAAGTCCAGAGAGGCTGACTAAACAAGGAATAATAAACTAGATCTCCCTCAAGTACTGCCAAAGCCACTAGACACAGCTGCTTGTGTAACTACAGTACTATTGCTACTACCACTTCTTCCTCTCCAGCATGTACCATAACTGAGGCGCCCACACATAAAAATATGCCTCCCTAGTTATGTATTCAGTTCAAGTGCACTTAGTATGCAGAAAAGTTTAAGGCTTGACCTCGGTTTTGCGTCGAAAGAAATTTGAAAATGAATAAAACAGGCCTCTCTGCGTGTTACTTCAAATATAGAACTTGCACGCGTGATGTATTCTTCCATAAAAGCTAATGGCTGCAATGCAGACAATAAGAATCATTGACCCACTTAATCGCAGCTCTGTGTCACGCTGTGACAGTGCGAAAGTTAGCTCACCACAACTGTAGGATCAAACACAGGGTAATAGCTGGGCTCCCTCTTACAAAATGCATGTCGGTCTGGCACTTGTGAAACGCGGTCGGGCTGCCTTTTTTCGCCAGCCGGCACAAATATGTGAATAATTGATTGATATCGATGTGAGGATCACCTTGGTGGATCCAGTAGTTGTTTGGCTTAGAAGTCTCCTGTGGAGGGCAGGAGACTGGCCATCTGTCAATAACACGTCGGTCGTCTCACATGGCGGCCTCTGACCGGCTCGAACGCTTCAGTAAGCAGCCGAGCAATTGTTCTCAACGTGGTGTCAAATCAGCTATTCTGCTCTGAGAGGAGGCTTGAAGCTAAAGTGGTTCAGGTCTGTTTCAGTCAGGGGTCCATAAAGTTAGAAATAATGGGCACATGCTAATTCCATTCTCTTGCTGCGATATGATTACAGTGATTATTAATGGCATTTACTCTATAGCACTCAAAATAATATGTGAGGCATGCTTTACACAGAGCACATTTCATTTTTAATTTTTATCCAGGTAAACTAATCACAAATACCTCTTTACAGCATGTGCAAGCTGCTTTTGTGCAGTTCAGGTTTGGTGCCTTGCTCAAGGGCATGTCCTGACTGCTATGGAAGTTTTAAAGGGCACTTTAGTTACAGCCTGAATAGGACAAAAGTGCGTATGAACTTTTGTATGTTGTGTAAGTGAAATGAAAATTGCCATGAAGGTCATTTTATACAGAGGTCTCCACATGCCTAGAGACTTGTATCGAGCCTCCTTGCGGGCGAAATGGACAGGTGGTGTTATAAAAAGACCTTTTTGCCACTGACATCATCCGTAGCCACCAGGAGGCCACTTTTTCCCCTTCTCTCCCTCTCTTTCTGTCTCTCTGTCTCTCTCTCTCTCTCTCTCTCTCCGTTCCAGGCTGGTAGCTGCCCACTGTCTGAAGCTAATGGCTGGAAGCACAGCTAAAAGCTCTCAGTGTGATAAGGTAATGTGGAGTCAGAGAGAGGGAGAGAGTGAGCGAGGAGGGCAGAAGAGTGCTATATCAGTGAAGCCATATATACTGATTATACAGTGATGAGGAAACAGTCTAAAAATAAAAACAAATGGAGAATGCGAGATGATATCACTGCACCCAGATTGCTGACTGCAGTGTTTGCAGTCATATCCAGATGGTTATGAAGCGGGGATGACGGTGGGAGCCGAGACATACTGCTGTCCTCTCGACTGACCTTGCTGATGTCATGCTTGAAAATAAAAGAGAGGAGCAATCTGTTTTTGCAAATACATAAGGGATTATGAACAAAAGTGTGAATATTAATGAAAACATTCTCATAAGGGTCCCACTTTTTTCTGTAGTAGTTTGTAGAATTAAGCCTGAAATGTAGGGGTGGGAGAAAAATCGATACAGCTA